CCCTAACTTCAAGTCAACTTACTATTGCTTTTCACGTTCTTGTCTCTCTTTCTCCTTGTAACCACCTTTTTTATTTATTCTTTAAGTAATTTTGTTTTCAGTTCTCATCATATCTGTTTGGCGTATTACAATTATCACACACCATCTAACATGGATCACCTCCATTGTTTATTTTCTTAAACATTAAGGTTCTGGTTGATCAGAAATATTTTCAATTATTAAGTTATATATTTGAACAGTAAAAAATATTCTAAAATTTAGTTAAATTTTTTAAGTAAAATATAAAAAATTCTAAATGATATATACTTTTAAAAAGAATTTTAAATGTTATTATTATATTTAAACTTTTATAATTATCATTCTTATTTAATTAATATTTTAATCATGTCTTATTATTCATGTTAAATTTTTCATCTAAATATTAAGAAAGATTTTGCATTTAAATGTCCTTTATTTAATATACCATATAATTAAATTTGACACTAAGTATTAATAATTACGTTAATTGATAATATTTTTTTTATAAAATATAAGATTTATTAATTCAATGATTAATTTAAATATTTTTTATAAAATTTTATATAAAGATAAAATTAATAAATAACTTATCATATTATTTTATTTTAATATTTAATATTTTTAAAATATAAATAAATATCAAATTTACTAAAGTAACAATTTTAGGATTGAAAATTGATTTTTTGTTTCGAGATTGGTGAAAATACATTGTTTAATTAAAGGGTGAAACTAAACCATTGATCGGATAAGCTTGGAATATTCACTTATATGAATTGATTTTAATTAACTTTGTGCAAGACAACCAAGTTGTTTAGCAAATCCCAAAGATAATCTCGTACATAATTTTTTAAGCAAGTTTATGGATTATGATACTACAATCTTCTTTTCTTTCTAGAAACAAGACTATGAATGCATATATGGATAGGTAATGTCGTGCATATTTGTATGATTACAGCAATGGTAATATTGCTGCAGCGGATCATCCTTGGTAACAGCGTTTCTCATTGTTTCTCCAAAAAAAAAAATTTATTTTTCAGATCAAACTTATTTGTAGCTGTTCACTATTTAGTATTACCATTTTTTAACGTATTTTTGAGAGTAAATAATAATTTAGTCAATAAATAAAAAATTTATCACATTTAATATTATCAATAAATTAAATTTTATTATTTTTAATAAAAAAAATTCTTACAAGCTAATCTGCGTTGCCTCTGAGTAAAACTTTTTGGTGGCTCGAAAACTTTGAGGTTAATTAATTATATTTGTAGTAAAAAACTAAAGTAATTGTTTCTAAATTTTCTCTAGCCCAGTGACATTTCACTTGTTATATAAAAAAGATGAAAAAATTACCTTTTTTTTTTAATTTTATATTGTAAAATAAATTATAGTGTAAATAATTTATAAATTGAACTGTTGTGTGGGTATGTAGCCCACGTCATTGTGGGCGCAGTCTCCCTGAAACGTGGAGTCCACTGCATACTTGAGCTGTAATCCCTGAAAGCAATATTCCCTCTCCAATTCCACACTTAGCGTTGGAAACTTCGTACTTCCATGCATTCATGTAATATAATATGTGTGTGAATCAAAGTAAAAGCTACCTATGTACATGCACATCACGTTCCTTGCAACTAAAGAGTAGTGTTGACTCATTTTAATTAATTCAAAATACATGAGCTTTGCTTTAGATCCAAACCAAATAATCATAGCCTGTACTAATAAACAAAAGCTGCTTAATTCACATGAATTTGTTTCTTAAGGAAAATAGTTTATTCTGAGGTGGGAGTAATTATATAATATATCTGCATGTGTGTGTCGTTAAATACAAAGACATATGCAAGACCATGCTACCTTGGTGAAGGCTAGTGCTGCCAGCTTAATTAGAAGGAAGATATGAATACAAATGAGAACAGAGGTTTATCATAAAAAAAGGTTGAAGGTGAAGTCAACATTGTATATATAATATAAGCATTTTGCACTTGAGAAGATAAATCTTTTTATGGTTTGCTATAAAAAATTTCTGCCTAAATATAAAAAATGATAGATTTTTAATTTTTTAATTCTCTTAATTTTTTCATGGATAAATAGATAGTAGAGAAGAAAAGAAAAATAATAGTAAGACCTTCTTCAGGTGTTTCAATTAAGTTTGTTTTTCCCTTGTTCTTAAGTGAATTTTACGCAAGTTTTACCTAAAAATGGAGTGAGATCTGATTTTTTAGTAGGACTCGAGTCAAATTTACTCAATAGCAGCAAGGGACATGTGAATTGATCTATCCTCAGTTAACATAATTAACTGTGATTGTTGACTTCCGTCTATCTTACTTAACATAATTAAGATTTGCAATTCTTAATCGTAACTGTGATTGCGATATTGCAGTTCGAGAAGTTTCTGTTTAAGTGTCGCGATTGCAATTGAAGTAAAAAATCGACTACATCTACCTATAATTTCAAACAATTTTCCTTTTGCCGCACAATAAACGTAATTCAAAGCCATGAAACATGTCGATCGTACGGAGCGTGCAGATTTTGGAACAAAGGGGTGATTGTGTGTAATCCTTTTGAGTCACTTCTTAGGACGATTCCATGTCTATGTTGCTTAGTTAAAGGCCGTGAAGCAGAGGGCAGAACAGAGTGTTGTCTCTTCAATCAATGGATAAGTCTCCTGATACATACACACAATGCATGTGAATCTTTTGTCCTGTATATAGCTCAAGTGCAGAACAACAGCAAGAAGAAGAGAAAGAGATAAATTGCCCAATTCAAACCACCCAATTGAACTTTAATCAAATTAAACTGGCAAGGATTTTTCATGCACCTAAACTGAAACGCGCTTAATGGAATCCACAATTTTCTCTTGTCACAGCAATTCATTCTCCGTTGGTATAAGTTATCAAGTTGATATATATTTATATATTTACTTTTAAACGTTTTTAAAATTATTTAATAAAATATAAACATGGAATAAAGGTATTTTGAATTAGATTGAGTTCATTGATAATATGTTTAATTTTATATTAAAATTTAATTAAATTTATGTTTACTTTAATTATAGTTTCTGTGTTAAATTTATATTTATTTACTTTCTACTGTATTTCTAACATGCACTAGGTTTAAAATTATTTGATTCGACACTTGATCCGATAATAGTTTATTTTCTCTCTTTGTGATTGAATCTAACCAGTATTTCTTTTACATGGATTGAGTTAGATTTACGGGTTGGATTAGATTGGTAATCAATTTAATATTAGTTTATATGTATTAATAAATTTTTTTAAAATTACAAATATTTTTTATTGGATAGAATCTTATTCAAATGAGTGCCAAAATTCTCTTTTCTAATATTTAACAAAGTTGTATTTACTGATATTTAAACTCATCAAATTAATTATAAAAATTAAAAAACATAAACAAAAATTAAAAAAAAACTTAATGAAAAAACATTATATTGATAAAAAATTATTTAGGTTAATTTATATCTCTTATTTATTTTTCCTTTATTCCAAAATTTATATAAAAATATGATATACAAGAACTTTAAATAAATATAAAATAATATACTTATAAATACAATAATAAATTAAATATATCCTTATAAAACAATAATAATATGATGTAATTTTAAAAGTAAAATCAGGACAAAATAATTAGGTATTAGTTTCTTAAAGAGCTTAATGTAGATACACTATTAGTGTAAAACTTAACTAAATACAAATTATTCTAGATATCATTTTTAAAATAATTATTATAAAAATAAATTATCATGAAGAATGTGATAATTTATTATTAAATGATAGTATAAAATTGATATATTAATTAAAATTTATTTTATACATCAAATTATATATATACGTAAATTTAATTGAGTTGTTTCTTAAAATTATATCTAAATTTTGATAGATACAACAAAAAAAGGTTCTTTATTTTTGCCACTTTCAATCATTGTACTTTTTAGTTTATATATATAGTCAATTGTGAATTTTTTTTCTTTAGTTTGAAAACGTTTTCATTCTTAAGAAACATTTTTTCCAAGCTCGGTGGAAAGATTTGAAATTAGACACACGAAGCCAAATTATGCATGAAAATATTTAATGATTTATAATTTTTTAACTTAAATATATTTTTAATTTATGTAAACACGATTCAATTTAATATTATTTATATTTTTATTGTTTAATCATAAAATTTATTAAAATAAATTAAAAATTAACTCATTTAATAAGTTATAAAAATTGTTAAAATAATATAAAAAAAGGTTTATGGTATATTTTAATTTAGTCTTTTAATTTTTTTTAAAATTTTATTTTTTTATCATGTTGGTCATCATTTATGTTAATTTTGTTACATAACTTAAGATAGACATTTTATGTGACGCTAAAATAGCTTAAATATCATTAATTAGTTTTAATTGAACTTTTTAAATAGGAGGTCATCCTCACAAATATTTTATATCTATCATTTTCTTCTACCTTCTGGTCAAAACCATTGAAATTCATAGAACTAAAAAAATAATTAAAATCTAATAAATTAAAGGCTATAAAAGAGTCCTTAAATAAAAAAAATAAAATCTTATTTTCCATGAATCCAAGTCTTATAAACTAAAGTTACAAAGAAGTTTATAATCAAAAGATCCTTATTACTTTCGAGACTCTCGAAGATAACACACTCCTGGGCAAATAAATTTTTCCATATTGCAATTGGAGAAATCATGAAATATTGTTATGACTCACACTTGATCATGTTGGTATTTTACATAAGTAATAATGTGACATCATAAAATTAATGAATGAAATATAATTTAACTATATAAAAAAGATAACCGACATACATAGATAAATATTATAAGTGATAATAAAAATTGTTATTAAAAGTTAAAATGAAATTTGAACAGTTTTTATTATGATGTAGTGATGACAGGGATTGATTTCTACTTAGGGAGATGCATAATGGGAAGCTGATGGGAGCGTAGTCAAAGAGATTTGAAGTAACATGCATTGGGACCCATTCCCCATAATGACCATTGACCCGTTCCTTCCTCCAACTCCACATGCTTACATGGGACCCTCACATTCCTCCCCTTGACTTTTTCTTCTAAAAACGAATCTAATCTTTCAACTTAGATCGCCCAATATTATTATTCAACACAACACACACATATATATTCTACCAACAAAATAATATCCAACCCACCAAACAATTCAATTTCAACATCAACATCAACATCTAATCAAATCAATAAATTTTTAAAATAATAAACTATTTCATTTTTTCAGACTGTACTTTGTTATCGTCAAATTTACACAAAAGTCCTCGTCAACTTTAGACGACTCCGTCAAAGTCTACAACGCAAAAGTTGACTTCTATTCCATCTTTTTCGCCCCTTCCAACACTTCCGATTTGACGCTTCCTCCCACGTCCTTTTCGCCGTTACCGTCACGGTCTCTCGACTATTTCACGATCGCCGTCAATGCGTATGCCAGTTTTTCCCACACCGTCGTTTAACTGGAGTTGAGGATTAAGCCAACGCCGGCTGTGGCTATTGACGGCAGCGAGTGACTGTGCTCACCCTCGTACGTTACAATCAACATCTTGGGATCATCTTGAGCTCGCTCCACATGCTTCCTCGCCGGACACCCTCTCACGGTGCTGCACTTGTAATACCCACTACCAAATCCAATAATTAAACATATCATCAAAATTTCAGTTTTTTAATTACTACTAAACAACTAATTCTTATTAAAAAGTTAATTTATTCAATATTTCAACCTATTACACCTCGGAGCCACATTAAAAAATTATTAAATACTATTGAATGATTAATCACCTCTTGATGCAAACTTTGGTTTATTTTTTATATTTTAAAAGAAAAACTTGGAGATCGACATTGACTTTGACTGATTCAAAGGTAAGGAATAGAATAATACCGAGGGTAAGGTGAACCCTTGATCGGTTTTTGACCATACTTTCTCCAAGAGTACTCGTCCGGTGGGATATCGGCGATCTTCGAGCTAATCGCCGGCACGCGAATCGTTCGTTTCACACGTGATTTCCTGAAACACCCAAAAAAATTAGATTTTCATTTATTGATGATTTTTAATTATTTTTACTATCTTTTGTGAATTTTCGGAAAACGGTGTCGGAAAACGGCGGAAAAAACCTTTTCTTGGAGCAATGGCAGGAGGTTTTGGCGGAGAGTGCGGCGTCGTGGCACTTTTTGCGGTGAGAGGAGGAGAGAGGGGGCTTGGAGGCGGAGGGAGGGATGAAGGGGCCAATCTTGCCGTCGGAGACGCTGGCGTCGGCGGTGACGGAGGACATGAAGGAGGAAGTAGTGGTGGACATGGTGAGAGTATCATCCTTGTTGTTGGACTTGGTATTGAGAATCGTAGATTTAGCAAAATCTAGCCCCTGAATCCGAGGTTGATCTTGTTGTGGTTGTAGCTGAGGTTGTGCCTGGGGTTGGGGTGGGGCGCGGCGGAACCGGGCGTGTCCGGTGCGATTCAACAGGTTAATAACCTGTTTAAACTTAGAAACGGTGAAGTCGGTGATTTCGGAGCAGTCGAGATTGTTAAGATTAAGGTTGTTGTGTGGAGTAGAAAAATTGCAAGATGAAGAAGAAAGGACTCGAATGAGATGCTCCATGCTCTTCAACCCAGCTGAAGCAGCTTCTTGTATGGATATGTTTTCTTCCATTCTCATCTTGTGAACATCTATCATATCTATTGCCATAGAGAAGATGAAGAATTAATTATGGGAACTAGAAGCTAAGAGCTTTTGGATTTGGGAGAGAGTAAGATGAAGGAAGAGGGACAGAGGGAGGTTATAAAAGAGAGAGAGAGAAGGAGAAGAGGGTTGGAAAGTCAAACAAGTAATCGTGGATCCAATGGTGGAGATTGGTTAGAAGAGACATGCAACAGAGGAAAGCACGCCACGACAAAACAAGAGTTACTGTAAAGGTCCAAAAGAGGTGTTGGTGGTGGGTCCTCTCTCTCTTGCATTCCATAGTGGGCAACAGAGAAGAAGAGAAGAGAAAAAAATCACACTATTCTACTCATCAACCCCAATGCCACGTCACATACCATCATTTTGGTTAATCATCTCTATTCCCTACGGTGCCTTTTCAGTGTACTTACTTGACAACTAAGAAGTTCACAGCATGCAAGCTAATTTATTTTCACTCTTTTTTCTTACATATTTATATCTATTTTCTTTTAGCTTATTTAAATAAGAATAAAGATCACTAATTGCACCATTCTCATTATTATCTGAAAATATATATTTAAATGAGTAATGCTGATTTTTTTTTACTATTTATTCCTATTAATTTTTCTAATGCCTGATTAAATAAGTGTTAAATAAATCATGAATGTGTTAAATGTCTTAAAAACATTAAATGCTAAGATAATTTATAAAAAAAAATTGTAATTTTTTTTAACTTTTTGTTTAAAATACTATTTTAACTTTTGAAATCTCGCTTCATAACTCTGCATCTTTACATACACGCCGTCCACGCTTTTAAAGGGGTAGGCACTTCTTTCCTTAACAACGCCCAAGCCACGGTCAAACCCAAAACTTAAAACGTTTGTTTTTCGTAATGATAAATCTTGAAATTTTTTTTACGTTTAATTAAGTTTTTTATTTCTCCGAAGGTCATTTTCATTTAATTTTATTCTTTATTTAATTGAATATTTCGTAAAATGTTTTTTATTATTCAGTAGTCTCTTCCATTCATTTTGTTCATTTTTCTTTATTTTTTTCGCACTGGTTCATTTATAAAAACCATTTTCAACATGTTTAATATAATTTTCATGATTGTTATACCGTGTATTAAATGAATAAAATAAATTTTATTTAGACATACATTAAAAATTTTTAAAATGTAGCTAGTTGCTGAAAAGAAAATTTAATTTTTTATATGTATTTAAGACAAATAGTTCTACCTAAAGAAAAAGACAAACATTTCTGATTCTTATATTGTCATTTTTTTATTGTTCAATATACATCGTCCTAAGTATTGAAGTTAAATAAATAAAATCAAAAGACGCAAATGCGTTAGAAAATTATTGCGCTGCGATTTCATCGAAAGCTTCGCCCTTCTAACTTTTTCCTTTTTGTCCTTTAGTTAATGGTTGACCGATATGTACATGGTATTAAAGCAAACAGCAACTATGAGACGACTTCAATTTTTGAAATTAAGCCTTCGTCTATGGGTATTAACAGGGGCTTATTTTGTTTTAAATTTATAAAAAATAACTTTTTTATAAAAATATATTTTATACTAATTTGTACACATATCTCAATAACATTCAATAACTCACAATTAATTCATCAAAATTAATATTAAATGGACGCTAAATAATAATATAAAACTACGTAAAAATGGATTACTCTTTTTATATATATATTTCTTTTGCAAGGTCAAAGCCTCATTTGGCAAGCCACAGCACCATGGGAAAGAGAAACATTATGATTATGCTTACTATAAAAAAAATTGTTCAAATCTTCTTTTTGTCACTTCAATGCTTCGTGGCACTTATCTAGTTTCACAAAACTAATAATAAAATAACCATTTTATTAATACTTTTAATGTAATAATAATATTTTGGAAAAAAAATTAATTACTTAAAACGACACTTAAGTACTGGTGTTAGTAAAATTCCTAGAATAAAACGGGAGTAACCAATATACATTAGACTTGATTTGAAAACTGAAAAAGAATTTATTCTATATGCTATTGGACATGCTTCAATCTTCGTGACACATATATATTTAGTACATAAAGTTAAAGAAATGATGTTTGTATGCTTTGGGGAATCATTCTAATGTTTATTAAAAATATGTAAAAAATAAGAAAAAATAGATGTAAAAGATAATATATATATATATATATATATATATATATATATATACAATTACATATAATAAAGTTAGAAACTTGGTTGTGGCAGAGATCAGGGGACCCAATTCAATTAATTTAAACAAAACAAGGTTGGGTATTGACATTTATGATGCTTTTTAAAGTTTGACATTAAAAATAAAATAATTGTGTTCAACGTTTGAGTGCAACTACGTAAGCTCACCACATCCATACAAAAATAGCACCTGCTTTTTCAAAACGAGCATGGTTACATGCACAATCAATCACCGTTGGATGAGTCCACGTTCATCCAATGGCCACATGGTGTGGTGGCTATGGTGGTTGACCTAAGATTATATTTGAATAATGGCAAAGCACATGACCCCCAATTGGGTTTTGGGTCAAAGCCACCAGCATGCCACAGTAAAAGCCAACAAGGTCCTTCCAATTAGTTTCTCTAATAGTTCGCATCTTAGCTAATTCAAACCAATTCATATCTAATCCAGCTATTTGTGTCTTGGCCAGCAACACAAGGTAAATGATCAAGTTCAAACACTTTTTCTTTCCTCTCATGTTCATGTTTTTCTTATTTCTTTTAGTTTGTTGACTTGTGGGCTTGGTGGACTTGCTATCATAAACCATTTCCATATTAATTAATGGGGAGAAAAGTCAATGACAATCAAATACGTGTCATATCTTTCAACACATTAATAAATGCACACTTTCAACCCCTTTTACAAGCATTTTGTTATGTCTATAATGATATCTATCTTCATCTAGGTAAATTTTAATGCACACAAAAGTATACAAGCCCAATTAAAATTGAAGGACGATTAGGAATATATTATTTTAATAATATATCTTTAATTATTGGTCAAGATTTATTTGAAATTATAAAAATATAGGAGAATAATTTAGTTAAGAGTGAGAATTATTAAATTAAGAGTGTGATTTAATTTTTTTTTGTAAAATTTAACAAATAATTATTAAATTACTAATATTTTTCTTAAATTTAAGGAAGAATGATAATATTGATAAGTGTAGGAAGATGGAGCACTACAAATTTACGGTGTTTTATTTAATTGGGTCTTGAATTGAATAATTGACCTATTAGTTTATTGGCCGTTGAAGGTCTAGAGAGTTAACTTTCAATTGTTTGCTTTCTTAGACTAATTTAAAACATATCTATTGTGTAAAATGATAGTATTTTTTAATAGTTATTCTAACAAACTATGTATTTCTTTAAAAATATATATTAAATGTTTTATATTATTTCCTTACATAACACTTTTAGGATATGAATTAACATTTACCTCTTGATAAATCATTGGTCAATATCTTGTTTAAGAATTTCAAATTTTCATTTATACATTAAAAATTAGTGGGCTAATTTTAGTAGACAAATTAAAATGAAATAAAATATAAGATATGAGTTCTTCTCGATATACGGTGTATTTCATAACAAAATAGGTCGGGTTATCAATGAGCAAGTGAAACTATTTGGGCTAACCCAATATAGGTCAAGGCAAAATTTTGGTCAATAGACTGAAGAATTGGGTTAGGTTAATCTAGTTTAACTACAGAAAATAAATATTCTACTCTAATTCAATCTTTCGTGGATTACAAACTTATGGGCCCAATGAGCCAGCTCGGGAGTCCTTTTTGTTTCAAAGTAAACATTTTTTTTATTGAAAATATTTTTACTCATATTTTGTTAGTTTTGTTCCAAACTAATTTATACCAAATAAATCATTTAAATAAATAAAAATTAAATAGCATACCAAATAAATTTTGGATTGGACTGGATTAGATCAAGATTAAGTTGGACTGAAATATTTTAAACCCAATTCATACTTAATTATAGCGGAAAAATTGGATTATTAGTATATTCGCCTTGACCCTTAGAACACCCCCCCCCCCCCACAAAAAAAAAGGACTTGACCCATTTTAATTGTTCCCGTAACATAACATTCGTGCAATTGTATGAGTGAAACAAAGGAAAATGAAATTCAATTATTATTTTTTATTTGCTAGATAAATGCTACCATAATATATTATTTTAAAGGTTTTCTTTTTCATGCATGATGCTGATGAAATTCATTTAGTAATATTACAATATTTAAGTGATAGTATGAAATTTATTTAATTGAATTTAGCTCAACAGTAATAAAATGAAAATCAATTCTCAAAAATTAGTTAAATGAATATAGTGACAACAACTTTCAATATTTAAAGCTAAATAATCAAGGTAGAGTGTGAAAACTAATTTTTGCCGGGATTGCCTCTATTTTTTTAAAAAAAATATATAAAAATAAAATAAAATTATTTTACAGAAAAATAAAAAATTTATTTGAAAAAAGAGAGATTTGTTCGTGGAAATGGTAGTCTTGCACTATGCAAATTTATACTCTAACATTAAAAATTGATTTTAAGCATGAAAAGAAAAAAACTCAAAACTTTTGGCATTTTATAAAAATTCTAAAGGTACCAATATAAAAATACAAAAGATTAGGTGAAAGGAGTTATATTTTTTCTGGAAAAAAAAAAGTAAAAAAAAATAAAAAAGAAAACAACAAGCTTTAGAGAGAGAAGAAAAATTCTAAGAAGAAAGAAAAATCATCATAAAAAAAGATACGAGAAAACAAGGATAAAAAGCAAAGAATAAGGGTTTATTTGAGTTAGTTTTGATTTTTAATTTTAAAAATTAGATTTTAAAACAATTTTATAAAACTGTTTTTAGAAAAATAAAACAAAATAAATTTTGTTTAATAATTTAGTTTGTAAAACTATTTTTAGTTAGACTTTTGTTAGTTTTAGAAAAAAAATAGAAAAATAAAAACAAAAACACCTAAATAGCAATTCTGTTTTTCAGTTTTAAAAACTAAAGACAAAAATTAATTTTTAAAAATAGTTTTTAAAACTTACATTAACAAGCAAGTTTTTCTATTTTTTAATTTTAAAAATTAAAAACTCTATTTAAAAAGAGAAAACAAACAAGCTCTAAATACTTCGAAAAGGAAGAATACTAAAAAAGAAAAAATGAGATTGAGCATAATCAGAAAAAAGATCAAAGAAAAGAACAAATAAAAGAGAAGCCCAACGAAGAAAAAAGAAACTGCACCATTTCATCTACTTCATTATCTTCGTTTGTCATTCAAATCATAAACTTGTATATTACGGTATTCTTATTTCCTTCCTCATGAATTCACTTTTTATGTCAATGAATAAAATAAAATAGGAACCAAATGATAGAAAGAAAAAAATTTACGATTACTTTGCTACTTTGTTAAGTTTTTTATTTCTTTATAATACATTATTATTATTTTATTAATAAAATGATGAGTGATTTAATTAAAGATGCATTGCACGTCGAGAATGGTAAATTATAGCATGCAATATATAATCACTTTTTGAAATATTATGGCATTGATTTAGATCAATTTCTTTTTTCTTTTTTTTTTTTTAAATTCTCAGGCTCACGTAACCTACTTTGAATAGTGAGTTTGATTGATTGATTTTTTTTAATAAAAAATAAAAAAAATTAAATTTTTCTTTAATTTTTATTTATTTATAACTATCTTTAACCTATTTTACTAAAAACATATTATTATTTTTTTATCTTTTATTTATATCTTCAAATTTATTTTATTTCACCTTATTTTATTTTATATTACATTTGACCTCTATTTTTATCTATAAAATTTATTCTTTCTTCATTAAAAGCAATAAAAAACATGTAGAATAATATAAATGTAATATAAAAATAATTATTGAATTTTTTGCTTGTTTCTATCTCATTTGTTTATTTTTTTAGTTGTTTGTTCTTTAGTATTTTCTTTATTATTTTGTGCAAGTTTAGAATAATGATGTAATTTGATTTTATTTTAATATTTTGTCTCTATTTATTTAATAAATATAATTTTTTTTAAGTGATTATTTTTATTTCATATTAAATAAATAAATAATACAATATATGTATCGATTTCTAATATTAACGTGTAACTACTCTACCGCTATGTATTATAAATTGATAGAACTTTTGTATATCAACGTTATCTTATATTCTATGTAATATAAATCTATCAAATAAAATTTAATCTGTTTATTAAATAATAAATTTTTTTATTAAAATATATTTAACCTTTCATTAAATAAAATTAATTTCATATTTTAAATTTTCTTCTAGTCATATTTCTAATTTTGATAAATTAAATAACTAATCATTTCTTCATTTTAATATACAAATTTTTGTAATATCAACGTGTGATTTATATTGACTTCGATTATTTAATAAATTATGATATTTATGTATAGCTTACGCTATTTTAAATATTCTTTCAACATTAATCATAATCAAAATATAACTTATCGTAAAGTACATGTATAACCGCTTTATTTTAAATCCTAAACATTATAATTTTATGAAAATAATTTTAATTTTAAAATAATTTTTTTACTAAACTTAATTTTAATTAACTAATTTCATAATTTTTAAATAGAAGTACGTTACTTTGAGTTTCCTATTACACTTAGTATACGTAAGAGTGAAAACTGTATGAAAAGTGTACCGTTACGACATAGAAAACTTAACAACCAATAGAAAAAAAAAAGAATGTCCAGTCTTTCATCTAAGATCACTCTAGTATCTATAGAAGCCTTGATTCATGAGGCTTTTAAGAAAATTCCTATGGTGAATTATTTTTCAAACCTTTGATGGAGTGTCAACATTGATTGGGTTGACACTTCAAACCCTTCCTCCCTCTATCCATATTTTTATGATAGAATACAAAGATATGAAAGTTTATCTTGGAACATTAGAGGTGCAAAAAATATGAAGGGAATGAGGTACCTCAAGGAAATGATTATTAAGTTTAATTAGGTGGGATAAACTAAGTTATGAGCTAATTGCTATATTCCACGTTTGGTCTTCTACTCCTGTCAATTTGTTCACTCTAAATGTTGATGGTAGTGTTCTTAATAATTCTGATGTCAATTTGTTCACTCTAAATGTTGATGGTAGTGCTCTTAATAATTCTGATGTTGGTGGTCTCTTTCGAGATTCAACAGGTTCTTGCTTATGTGGTTTGTAGGTTTTATTAACATTGCTGACAATATCAAAGCAAAGTTGTTAGATATGGACTTATCTGAACACTAGTGTTTGGTCATATGATATTGACATGAAGACATATATGCTCTATCATTAGATATGTTATCAAGAGACTAGAGAATTTCTATTATTCAATGCCTCCGTCAAGGTAAATATTTTTGTATAAATTATGTTATTTTAAATTCTTCAATTAAAGTATATAGGGTTAATATTTTTATATTTAAATTATATTTTGCTATTAATTTAAATTTTCTTTTCTTGTTGCAATGATTCGCAATATAATACATGATCATACTCTACCGCAAAAGTCAGATTTTTTCATAATAAGTTTTTAATTTTTTTTTATTTTCTATTTTAAATTAATTCTTTTAACTATGTTTCCTTTTTTTAATCCAAAATAATGTATTTAAATATTTTTCATTTTATTTTAAAATAATTTCTTCAAATATTTTTTCCCTTTTATTTCAAAAACCTATTTCTTTAAATAATTTTTATTTTACTTCAAAATAATTACTTTGAATTCTTTCTCCTTTTTGTTTTAAGTTAATTCTTTTTAATTGTTTTCCTTTTTTATTATAAAATAATTACCTCTAAATCTGTCCATTTTTCCAAAATAATTTCTTCAAATTCTTCTATTTTTATTTCAAAATAATTACTTTGAAATTTTTTAATTGTTTCCAAAATAATTTATTCAGTTTCTTTCCTTTTTCATTCCAAAATAATTAGCACACATACTTTCCCTTTTTTCCCTAAAAAATATTGACCTTGAATCTTTTTTCTTTTTCTTTTTCTTTTTCCAAATCAAAATGAAATTAGTTTTTTAATAATTTCTCTGTTCAATAAAATAAAAAATAGTAACAAAAATAAAAATACTAAATTTCCTTGAGTTCACAAAGATAAAAAAAAATGATAAACATTATATTTTATGGTTCCTCTATGTATAAATTTTCAATATTAATTCTTAATAAGAGTGTTTTTATGAATATTTTTAAACAATATCTTTTTTAAGAAAATTATTAAATGAGAAAATTTTTAGGAACGTATTTTTTTATTATATCTAATAATTTTTCTACATTATGCATTTATTTTTAAATCAATATTTATTTAAATTTTAATTATTTTATAATTTATTTCTGATTTTATTTAATATAATATAATATATATCTGTAACTATAATTATATTTATTATTGTAATTTACTAAATGTTAAAATAGTCATATAATACATTTTAAAAAAATAATTTAATTTAATAATATACGTGTAGTGAATAGGAAAGTTACTGGTTATAATAAATTTGTGTAATTAACGAGGTAAATATTCTTAATAGGACGTTAATGATGGTAATAACTTCGCTAGGTAAATGATCTGTGAACTTAAATTTGATTTTAGAGATCATAATTTTCATAAAAGGTGTTTTCAAAGCTTTTGTTAATCATTTATTATGTTCATTATTAATACGTTACTAAGGATTAAGGAGAGGACCAACAAGAAGTTATCAACCTTGTTTTCAACCTCTTTGGCATTCTTCTCGTGAGAGTTTCTTTCTCATTCATGTTACATACTTTCCCTTTCATATTAAACACCACCACCACCATTTCACCACATCTTGCTTCAACCATGATCAAAGGTAAAGACATTTACGAAGTGTTGGCATCACTTGCGCCCCTCTACGTGGCTTTCATCCTAGCCTATGGCTCAGTACGTTGGTGGAAGATCTTCACTCCAGAACAGTGCTCTGGCATAAACCGCTTTGTGGCAGTGTTTGCAGTTCCTTTCCTTTCTTTCCATTTCATATCATCCAATAACCCTTACACTATGAACTTAAAGTTCATAGCCGCGGATTCTCTTCAAAAAGTTGTGATTTTGGTGGGTCTTTTTCTATGGAACACTTTCACAAAGTGGGGTAGCATTGATTGGACGATCACATTTTTCTCACTTTCCACTTTGCCAAACACACTCATCATGGGGATCCCTCTTTTGAAGGCCATGTATGGAGACTTCACAGCAAGCCTCATGGTCCAAATTGTGGTTTTGCAAAGTCTCATATGGTACACTCTTATGTTGTTCATGTTTGAATATAGAGGGGCTAAGCAACTTCTTTTTGAACAATTCCCTGAGAGTGCAGGGGCCATAACCTCCCTAAGGGTTGATTCAAATGTTAGTTCACTCAATGATAAGGAATCTTTGCAAGCTGATGCAGAGATTGTTGAAAATGGGAATCTTCATGTGGTGGTGAGGAGTTTGTCACGTTCTACATCTATGCTTCCTTCATTCAATAAGTCCCATTCAATTTCAACACCTAGATCATCAAACCTTTCTGGGGTTGAGATTTATCCGGTTCAGTCATATAAAGAACCAAGGCAAAGAGCTTCAAGTTATAGTGACACAAATTTCCACACATCTAGTCTCAAAAGGGTTAGTTTTGAAGAGGAGATGCTGAAAATGAATAAGAACAAATTTTGGAGGAGCAAGAGTTGTAGTGATGAGGTTTTTAATGGGGGTTTGGTTTCTAACCCGTTCTTAAAGCCAATGTTTCCTGGGTCAAACAGTTTTGGTCAAAGAAATAAAGATATGAGTGGTGGCAGTGGCGGTGCAAGTAACAAGGAGTTGCGCATGTTTGTGTGGAGCTCAAGTGCATCACCAAATTCTGATGTTAGACATGCAGTGAATAGAGTTGCTTCTGCTAACTTTGGGTCCATTGAACTTTCTAAGGCTCTTGGTATTCCACAAGAAACTAATGCCTCCAAAGGTAATTACCCTCACAATTGATTACATGTGACGCACTCACCGAATGGATATTTTTCTGCCTGTGAATCATAGTTATTGTATGTAGCCATTTCTATTAACACATCTTTTAGTATATTTTTAATTAGTAGTTAAAATTTATTAAGAATTACAAAATTATAAGTGATAATCAATAAATTTAAAGTGAAATTTATATTTTTTTAATAAATTTTAGTCAACAACTAATAATATTTTTTTCATGCATTTCACACATTTGTATACTAGCAGTCTCCCCTGGAATGAGGTTTGTTTGTTTATATATATATATATATATATAAGAAACAATTATCACTCTTTTTATTGAAAATATAAAAAATAAGTTCATTTTTAGATGTATTAATTGATAATTTTTTATACTCTTAATTGTGAAAATTAAATTAATAAGACACTCATTTATTACCCATATATGTGGATACATGCATTTATTTAATACATAAATTATAAATTTGACTATTTATTATTATGAGTATACACTATAAATTTATAATATATAATTATTTTTTAATTAATCTTAATGAATTAGTTATTTATATTTTATTAATAGGATTGGAAGGAATAGTAATTTTTCTCAATAGTTTTCATTTGAAAACAGTGTCGAAATAAATTTTAATAAAAAAAAAATTATGATTGCAATTTCGTTACAACTAATGCAATTCATCACAACTGTGATAAGCGCCATTCGTAATTGTAAATTGTAACCTGATAGAATTTGTAATTTAGGCGTAGGATTGGTTTAACTGTTACCTAGAAAAATAATTGTGTATTTTTTTCAAAAATTTTTCAGAAGAATTTAAATCTTTTTAAATTATTAAGTATTGTATCATATAGTCATGTCAGAAAACAAGAAAAAATATATAATTTTTATTAAAGAGTGACTCGTTATAATTAGTTGAAGCACCTACTACTTAGATTTAAGAAAAACTGTCTTTTTCATTTTTCCATGACCACGTTATATTATTTTATAAGATGAAAAAAAATTCAAATTTCAGAGAAAAAAAAACTAACAAAATAAGCAAATATTTATTATTTTACTATAGTTTGTTGAATGAAACACTCGATAAAAGCATGAATTGATTTAAACTCTCTCATTTGCATGCAGCTGTGCATGAATTGATTGGCGTGAGTCGTAGTCCTGATGAAAACAGAGAGAGGAAGCTTGACGTAGAGGAAAGAATAACGGGTAGCCGGAAGGAGTTGAACACTGAAGAAGGCAATGCAAACAGAAAACAGCAAATGCCAAGTGCTATTGTGATGACAAAGCTCATTATCATCATGGTTTGGAGAAATCTCATAAGAAATCCCAATACATACGCAAATGTTTTGGGTCTCGTTTGGTCTCTCGTGTCATTTAAGTATATTACCAATCTCTTTGCCTCCATGTCTTTCAATGTTGATGCCCATCAATAGAAAAACACCCCCCGAAACTTTAATGTTATGATCTTCTTTTCTTTTTTATTTTTGGGGTTTCTCTTACAATTACCATTAACCAATCATTGCTTGGGTGCATGCAGGTGGAACATCCAATTGCCGTCTATTGTCAAAGGTTCCATTTCCATAATGTCTAATACTGGGCTGGGAATGGCCATGTTTAGTCTAGGTATTGGCCTCTCAACTTTTGTTTTTGTTTTACTAAAATGTATTTTTAGTGTTTGTTATATTTAAAACAGATATTTAAAATTTAATCATGAGTGTTTGTTGCATTTTAATTTCTCCTATTAAAATACTAATAATAAAAATTATTTTTAAAGTTTTTTTAATTTTTTAATCTTATTATAAATATAAACTAAAGTATATATACAAAATATTTATAGAAAAATTAAAACATAGCTTTTTGTAAATACAAAAGTTAATTTATAATATACGTGCTTACTCTACAAAGTACAAACACATTATATTTTGATGTGTTGGAACGGTCATACTTAAACAAATATCTAGAAGCCTATGTGCATATTATATCCCACTTTAAAAAAATGTTATTTATAGAGGATTTAACATAATGAATATTTTATTATATTAAATAACAAAAAAAATAAATTATCAAAATTTTAAATTTTAAATTAATATTGAATTAAAAATAAATACACAATGACAAAAAAATCATAAAAAAAGAATTAATATTTATAATTTGTATATAAAGACCGATAATTTAATCAAAATTATATTAGTATATGCTATTTTAGTATTTGTTAAAAAAATTTAATCCATTTTATGTAATTACTATAGGATTTTGTTAACTCTAGTCATTAGGGTTGAGTTTTAAGTATTCATAAATAATTTTTTTTAAAAAAATACACATATTAATTACAATAAATACTTTTTTAATAAAATTTTATTATTATTGATTGTTGTTTAAGTTGGAGGTTAACAAAATTCATTATTATTCCTGCGTATATATTTGAATCGTGTTATGTGTCCCTACTTAACAGCGTTTACTTAAACAGGACTGTTCATGGCATTACAACCTAAGTTCATTACTTGCGGAAAAACTCGCGCTGCGATTTCGATGGGAATTAGATTCTTGATTGGTCCCGCAGTGATAGCTGCAACTTCCAAAGTGATGAGTATCCATGGAGTTCTTTTACAGGTTGCAATTGTTCAGGTGAGATGAAACCCAATTCTGAATTCTTCAAATTAATCAAATTGTAAGGTATTAAAATTATGGGTCTTGCTGCATGTGCAACGTGGGACCAACAATTAAAGAATCGAAAGTGAAAAATTGATTTAGAAAAACATATTTTACGTAATTTTTTTAATTTTAATTCCTTAATCAATGTCTTTAAAACATACTACAGCTGTTCGTGACACCATGTTTCAATTTTGTAGGCTGCTCTTCCCGAGGGTATCGTTCCATTTGTATTCGCCAAGGAGTACAATCTACACGCAGACATACTCAGCACTGCGTAAGTGTGTGCATGTTATAAATATCTATTATCTGTTCGAAAAATATATTAAAATGCATTTTGTGACTTGTGAACTTAACCCATGAACATAAATTCTAAAAGGAATTCACAAATTTTGCAGGGTTATCTTTGGAATGATAATGGCATTGCCCGTAACAATAACCTACTACGCGCTTCTTGGACTCTGATATGTAAACTGGTTAAGAAAATACAGTAAGTATATAGTGCACTAGATGGATCATGGATGGTGTAGCATATGAAGTTGGGTCATTGTCATATTATCAAAATGAGACAGACAGATCTTATATGTTGCTTCAGCTGTGTATAATCAAAATTTAAATATAAAATCGTTTAATTTTGGTAATTCATCGTGTAAGCTTTATTATATAACTCACCCACATGTATAAAGTAGGTTTGACAATTGCATTATATCCTGTGCAGGGGTGGGGGTGTTAGCCATTTTTTCAAATAGGCTAAGCACAAAAATAAAATCGTAAAAGCAATTTTTTATTGTATCAAAATGTTAAGGAAAAGTGAAATAGAAAACGGAAAAAAATTAAACTTTCTTTTAAATTTTTTTATAAATAATAGTTATTTTGAGTAAACTTCTTAACAAGTATTTATAGAAACATAATAAAATACCTGTTTTTATATCTTTCCTATATTTAGTCTTACGTATTGGACCGGACATTGCTTTCTTTTTTTGTTGCCTTTTCTTCACTCAAATTATAGAAAATAAAAAAAAGAAACTAAATTATTATAAAATAAAAGTGATCATATACTAACTGGAAAATGTTGGTCATAAGGTTTTTTGTGTGGTTCTCATTTTATTCTTTTTTTGGTTGAACGTCATAAGGTGAGTTTGTTACCTAGTCTTCTGTGGGCTGCACGCTGAACAGGCCAACCCAAACATCACTTTTCTTTTTCAAAGGTACCAATATCGTGGTTTTCTTGAATCTTATTATAGATATGAAATAAATATTTTTTTTTACAAAAAAATTACCGGTTTTTAAATATAAATTGCTAGTTTTGTAACAAAGAAAAGGCTTATCCCGAATAAATAAAAAATAAATCATTATTAAAAGAAATAAAAATTTAGTCAACAGGCTGGTCCAATCCACTGTAGACTGATTTGCACCAAGCAAATTCAAGCCACGACCCAAGAAATTTAGGCTAAGGTAGGTTGGGTCGAATTTAAAGTGGTTTAAACTTTTCAAACCCTATTGACACTTTGTACTAAGTTAAACCAATAGCACCATTAAGCACAACCCATTTTGACAACTTTCTATTACACGCATCTCCATTAAAGATTTCCCGACTCACGACAATATATATACACACACACAAATTCTCTATTAAAGATTTTATTTAGTAAATATTAAAGTATTAATATAGATATTTGTGAAGTTATGTTAATTATATGATACTATGACATGTTAAACAAATGAAGGAAACATATTAAAAGTTATTTGACGTTAAACGTGTTAAAAACCAAAAAAATAAAAAATAAAATTGGACAAGTTAAACATATTTTAAACTTATTTCAAGTGTATATAGATTTCATTTTGATTAAATTTGATTAGCATATTTTAAACCTATTTTAACCCAAAAATCAGTTGAAGTGCATTCATCACAATTAAGTATTTACTGTAAGCAGATGTGAATATCTAATTTTAATCGGGTTTACTTTTAATTATTTATAAGTTTTATTTTATTTATTCATTCATTTATTTTATACGCTTCATGTACAGAATGAGAAGAATACCAATGTGATAGACCTAAGTAACTATTCACTTTTATGTAGATTATACAAGTTCATTGCTCTTTTTTTTTTTTTTTTGCCTTAGGGTCTTTGATTTTATCTTTCTTGGTTGTGTATCATCGTTGTTTTGATTACTAGTGATTTTATGCATTGACGTACATATACATTACTCACACACAAAACATGAGAGCACATTTCAATCAAACAAAGGCTGAGAAATGATTTACATCTTGAAATATATTAATGAATTAATCAACTCATTTGATTTTAAACCGCTTCTAGGTGTGAAAACTTTCTAACTGTAAGCACACAGGTCTACAATCCACTCTTATTTATCTGACTTCAAAAGCAGCATACAAAGTCATTACTCCAACTTCAACTCTTTACTTGGGGGGTGGCCCTCGTGGAACAATGAAATCTGCCAAAACAATCACAAATTTATTAGTCATCATTATATGTTATGCAATATTGCAAATAGCAGTAGTAAAGGGGAAAGTTGTGAATGTAATTAAGACTTTCTTTCTTACTTCCACATTTGGAGGCAGGAGTGAGAGGTCTGCCACAATAGTTCATGCAGTGCAACACTTTCTTCCAATTAAGCAGATCTGCTATGGTATATCCAGGCGGGTAAACTGTTTATAAGGCAAGAAATTTCAACTAATAATTAGTAAGGCCCGGTTATTAATAGATTTTTTTGGTAAAGCAAATTTTTGAGCTTTATAAATTCAGTATTAAATGAAAGTGCTCATTTATCATTGTATTAAAAGTATAAAAATGTATTAAATACTTTCTTTATAAAGTAAGCGAATTTATAATTATTCTAAAATTTATCTTCCTTTAGCAGCATACAGTGACGTTGATCAAAATAGAAAAATGCTTTTCAAAATAAATCAAAAGTTGGCTTTTTAGGTAAATGAAATAAAGTATATGTGCACACAAAATAAATTAATTATGCATTACACTTAAGATAAAGAAAGGGTTCTTAATTAGTTGCAAATAATGACAAACTAAATCCAATGAAATATGTATTTTTATATTATTTTTAGTTAAAATTAAATTTTTTCTAGCTTTCATCAATAACACATACAATATGAAGAATACGTTTTATTTTTATTAAGAAAAATACTTATCAAATCCAAATATACGCTTAAGTTTTATGCTAATGAATAATCAATCATTAGGGTTATAAATTATTTTCGTATGGAGTTAAATTATAAAACCATATCAATATATTCTCAAGTAGTTAAATTGCAAACCTGTTTGGGAATGTCTATTATTATCCTTATGTGTCTATTTTTCTTCTTATTTAAGAAAAAAATATTTAAAGTACCCTTACTTGATTAACAAAAACAAAAATTACCTAAGTAAAAGTAATAATTGACATTCTGAAGTGACAATAAATACCCTTCAAATCTATTTTTACTTAGTCTCTCCGTTTTAGAAAATTAGTATAAGAAATAATTTTTTACCTTTTTATATAATTGTTTTAAGAAATAAAAAATAAAATTTTATTAAAAGTAATAATAGAAAATATTTTCTTCAACCAAACTCTTAAATTATTATATATTAAAACAAATATTTTCCTTTTCGTAATATCACTGTCGTTGGCCAACACTGATATAAATTTATGATAAAACGAAAATACATTTTAATCTGGCCTTTTCGATTTTATATTTGCTAACACGATGTTACAACTTAAATCCTAGATTGCTTTTCAGATATATTTTGAGATGTTATGTCGGCAACTTTAAAATTTTTTTCTCTGTGCTTCTAAAGACTGGCAAATTAAAAGGGTACAAAAAGAAACCACAAATTGATATAATTGCATGTCCACATCAGAAACATAATCACTTGAACCACAACAAAAATTACTTACTAACAATTGCACACATATGCTTGCTATCTTCTTTCTATATAGTTGAAGTGCTCATAGTTCATGAAAAGATATAGCAACCACATACATTGTAATGGTACACCAAAAACGAGGAACAGATTAAGAATCAAAGAAAGAGTATTGAGGAAGTAGCAACATACCCAATTTCCGACCAAGATTACGGCAGCAACATGGTATGTTGGCATTTTTTATGACTTTACAGCACCGATCGTTGGGGTTTATCAAAGTTGAAGGTTCACCCTTGTTCATGTAATACATGCACTCTATTTCAAAGCCACGCAGGTCCACATCACAATCCTCTCCGGCCACCGTTGGTAACAATTTTTGGTCATGGCAAAGAGATAACAAACAGATTGAGAGGAATAGCAACCCAATGGTTTTGATATCAAAACCCATCCTTTCTGTGTCTTGATTTGTTTTGTTTCCCTTTTTCACTCTTTTGCTCTGATTGGGTTCATATGTGGTTTTGGGATTCTTAACCCTTTATAGAGAGGTTATGGAGGAGGCTCTTAATGTGTGATAAACGCGTAATTAATGTGTAACGCCACAGGATTTAATCATAATCATAATGACACGGGATGTTATACGATCAATGAAAGAACAAATTTAATTTAATTTTAAATTTGAATAAATATTAAAAAAGAAAATTCAAATTTGAATTTTAAATTTTTGCAAAAACAAAAATTACTTTTTGAAATCAAATCTTAACTCTAAGAAGGAGTACATAATAAAGTTGTGTAAATTTTTAACATGTAAAACAAAAAAAAGTAATATACATGTCGCATTCTTGCGAATTAAAAAGTCATGTGTTATATTCATGTTGAGACTCCTTTCCATGCGATCTTTTGTTCAACACTTTTCAAATACCATTATATTCATTTATTTTAGCATTTTATTTTCAAATCATGTTATTTTGATAAATAATTTTTAAAATATTATTTAAAAATATATTATATAAATATTTTTAAATTTCATAAATTTAATAATTTTAAAAATAATAAATATTATAATTATTAATCATACGTATTATTTTTTCAAAAAAGTTATAAATTATATTTTTAAGTTATATAAATATTTTCAAAATTATAATAAATTAATTAGTAGCTCTTGCAATGTAAATATGTTTTATTTTTAAATAAATATATACCGTAAATAATAAAAATAAAATTATATATTTTAAAATAATTATATATATAATAATATTATTTTAAATAATTATTTTTAAAATTTTTTTAACTTAACTTTGTAATCATAAATAGGATATATCAAATAAAAAATTTAATAAAATTATAATAAATTTAAAATAACATTTTTGTCATATAAAGCTATTTTTTAATTAAATGTTAATAGTCAATATATATTAATAATTATAAATTTAAGAGACAACTTTTAATTGTAAAATATAAATAAAAAATAATGATCATTTACTTAAATACAATAAAAGAGTAAACTCCAAAATTAATCTTGAGATTTTAAAATGAACTCATTAATCTTTGCACTAATCTGACTCATGTTTGTCACCGCACAAGTAATACAGCATGTTAATATGAATACACAGTTAAAAAAATAAAAAGCTCTTTGTAAGTTTTGAAACAAAATATATGTTATTAATTGAATAACACTATTAATTGAATATATTATTACTATATTATAATGAATATTTTAATACATTATAATAACATAGAAATAATGAAAATTTAATTATCATTTAAACACAATATTTTATATAATTATATGAATCTATTTATTTATTTATTTGTTTATATGTCTATATAAAATTGATTGTAACCTATTGTTGAATGTCTTATTTATTTATATTAAAATAATATTATAGCTATTAAATGGCATATGTAATTATTATATTTTAATGTGTGAGTTAAAAAAAATATAATAATCAATGAATTTAAAGATTTTTTTTTATGTTTAATATTTCACGACTTTTCGACAAATGATATGGCCCGTTAATTTTTTGAAACCCAATAAAATGATAATTTTTGTGTAAAATATAATGAATATTTTAAGTAACCCAAAAAATTAAAAATATTTTTCACAAACTTAATGATATAATCAAATATATATCTATTTTAAAAATAAATATTGACACCAAAACGGTTTATTACATAAATTATTAGACAGTATTTCTAAAATAATTTTTAAAAAATATTACTTCATAAACTTTAATTTAAATATATTGAAAATGTAAAAACAAATTACATTGTCATTTAATATATATATATATATATATATATATATATATATATATATTAGATTTATTGGAAAATCAACACTAAACCTAATAAATTGTTTGTTGAGTTCGTTTCCTTGACCAAGTCCACTGATTCCATCTTACAGATGACACACTCATTTATGATGTTTGTTTTTGTATATTTTTATAAGAACATCAAGTGACACGTTACAGAAGGGAGGGACCAACGACTAAGATTTCAACATTAATTTCAACCTTTTTGGCATCCTTCTTATGAGAGTACTTTCCTTTTTCATTCATCTTGCATATCTTCTTTTCCAGATTAAACACCACCACCATCATTTCACAACCTCTTGCTTCAACCATGATAAAAGGTAAAGATATTTACGAAGTGTTAGCAACACTTGTGCCCCTCTATGTGGCTTTCACCTTGGCCTATGGCTCAGTACGTTGGTGGAAGATCTTTACTCCAGAACAGTGCTCTGGCATAAACCGCTTTGTAGCAGTGTTTGCAGTTCCCTTTCTTTCCTTTCATTACATATCATCCAATAACCTTTACACTATGAACTTCAGGTTCGTAGCCGCGGATACTCTTCAAAAAGTTGGGATTTTGGTGGGTCTTTTTCTATGGAACACTTTCACAAAGTGGGGTAGCATTGATTGGACCATCACATTCTTCTCACTTTCCACTTTGCCAAACACACTCATCATGGGGATCCCTCTTTTGAAGGCCATGTATGGAGACTTCACAGCAAGCCTCATGGTCCAAATTGTGGTTTTGCAAAGTGGTGTCTGGTCCACTTTTTTGTTGTTCATGTTTGAATATAGAGCTGCTAAGAAACTCATTTTAGAACAATTCCCTGAGAGTGCAGGGGCCATAACTTCCCTAAGGGTTGATTCAAATGTTAGTTCTCTCAATGGTAAGGAACCATTGCAAGCTGATGCAGAGATTGTTGAAAATGGGAATCTTCATGTGGTGGTGAGGAATTTGTCACGTTCTATGTCCATGTTTTCTTCATTTAACAAGTCCCATTCAATTTCAACACCAAGAGCATCAAATCTAACTGGGGTTGAGATTTATTCGGCTCAGTCATGTAGAGAACCAACGCTAAGAGCATCAAGTTTTAGTGGCACAAATTTCAATACAACTAGTCTCAAAAGTGTTGGTTTTGAAGAAGAGAAGTTGAAGATGGATAGGAACAAATTTTGGAGGAGCAAGAGTTGTAGTAACGAGGTTTATAAGGGGGGTTTGGTTTCTCACCCATCTTTAAAGCCAATGTTTCCTGGGTCATACAGTGTTGGGCAAAGTAGTGAAGATATGAGGGGTGGTGCAACTAACAAGGAATTGCACATGTTTGCGTGGAGCTTAATTAATGCATCACCAAATTCCGATGTTCAACATGCAGCGAATGGAGTTTCTTCTGCTAACTTTGGTACCATTGAACCTTCCAAGGCTGTTGATGCTCCCCAAGAACCTGATTCCTCCAAAGGTAAATTAATCTCACCATTTGTTTGGCCCGCGAATAAAGATCCTGACACATTTTATATTATTTTTACGAGCACGTATATCAAATCTTAAATAAGTAGATATATTATTTAAAATTTATATTTTTTATATTTTTAAATAAAAATATTTATTAATTTTATTTTTTATTAAATTTTATATATTTGATTCACTTAATAAATTTTTTTAAATCAACGGTTATATATATATATAACACTAGTAACAATACATGAGTCACAGAAAATTTTAGTTATATTTGCTGTTTTTAGAATAAAAGTATTATTACTAGAAAAATAACTTATTCTTATTAAATTATAAATTATTGTTTGACAAACATTTTTTAAAAAACTAAATTAATCATTTAGTTGAATAAGATATATAAGTTAAAAGAATATTTCCTTCGTTTTTTTTAATCGGTCACTGTTTTTTTACAAAAATTATCTATCACTTTAAAAATTCAAGAAAACATTTATTATTTTTCTTTTCTTATTATACCCTTTTCCTTTATAATTAATTAGAGAAAAAATTTTAATTGATTAATAAAAAAGATTAAAATTTAAAATTAAATAATATTTTTATAAACTAGGACATAAATTGATTTTCTTAAACTATGTGAAACAACTTAATTGACAAATCACAAGGACAAGAAAGAGTAAAACTTATTTTTTTATATTTATAAGAAATAATTATTAATATTATTTTGTTCCAGTCATAAAAAATAAATAAATATTTTAAAATGTATTAATTGTTAAACTCCTTTTATACTGTTATTTATTGTAAAATGTATATTAATGAGGTATTCACCATTTACCTGTACAAGTGGATACATTTATTTATTGTAAGATTTGTAAAATTATCACATTATAATATATTTTAATAAATAAAAAATCAACTAAATTTAACTATTTTTATTAATTTGTTTAATTTAATTAAAAGATGAGAGAGAGTATTTGAATACTAACTAGCTCTTCCAATCAGGCTGTTTGTTCTTCTCATATTAGCATTAAAAGTTACTAGCTAATGATTTAAATTTCTATGCTAAATATAGAAACAATTTAGGATCTTAACAGTGGAAATTAAATTTTGGCAACTATTTTCAAAAAGATTTCGATTTCTCTTTTGAAAGTTGTATGAATTTTTTAAATCATATCTTGAAAAAAAGTAATTAAAAATAAATTTAGAATTAAATAAAGATATTTTAAAGAAAATTTTTATTAAATAGTGAAAAATCAGTTAAGTCTTGCTTGATTTTGGACTATCATATCTTAATTTAAATTTTCTTATATATTGGAGAACAAAAAGTACTAATAAATTAATCTCATTAATAATCATATGAAAAAAGTGTTGACATAAATTTAAATAAAAAATTTAAATGTTTTTATATTTTTAAATAACATCTGACATGGTCATTTAACAAATAAAAAAATAATTATTTTTATTAAATATGAGGATCCACTATCATTAGTTGTAATATTTATAGAGTAAATCTAATAAAAATCATATATTTTATATTTTAATATCAACAAAGAAAGAAACTAACAAAAGTATAAGTTGAATGAAACACTACCTTTGAATTGATTTAAACTCTCCCATTTGCATGCAGCTGTGAATGAATTGATTGACAGGAATCCTAGTCCTAATGGAAATAGAGAAAGGAAGCTTGAGATTGAGGAAAGAATGTTGGGGAGCCCGAAGGAAATGAACATTGAAGAAAGCAACGAAAACAAAAAGCAACAAATGCCAAGTGCTATTGTCATGACAAGGCTCATTCTCATCATGGTTTGGAGAAATATCATTAGAAATCCCAATACATACGCAAACGTTTTGGGTCTCGCTTGGTCTCTCATGTCATTCAAGTATTTTATCAACTTCTTTGCTTTGACAAATATATATGTATCAATATATTTGCCTCATTGTCTTTCTATGTTGATGCCCATCAATAGAAAAACACCCCCAAAACTTCAAAATTGTGTTTTTCTTTTATTTTTTTTATTTTTGTGGGTTGTAGTACCATTACCATTTATCAATCGTTGCTTGTGTTCATGCAGGTTGAACATCAAATTGCCGTCTATTGTACAAGGTTCCATTTCAATATTGTCTAATACCGGGTTAGGAATGGCCATGTTCAGCCTAGGTACTAGCCCTCCAACATTTTTTTTTTCTTGTTCTAATAAATATTGTTGATCTTTATTTATGAATTAGTTATACACCTAAAATATTTACGTTTTAGTCCTAAAAAGTTTAGCATAATACGATTTGGACGCGATAATTTATTGTTACTTTTAGAAACAACAGATCATTGAATTGATTTTCAACTTTTAAGCAATTTTAATAACAACGAAAGAAAAATGCAGAAGTCGTCTTATGTGTTCGTGTCGATGTCTCCATTTAACGTGTTTACTTAATAGGACTATTCATGGCTTTACAACCTAAAATCATTACTTGTGGAAAAACTCGGGCTGCAATATCAATGGCAATTAGGTTCTTGATTGGTCCAGGAGTGATGGCTGCAACCTCCAAACTCATGAGTATCCGTGGAGCTCTTTTACAAGTTGCAATTGTTCAGGTGAAATGAAACCCACTTCTGAATTCCTTGAAGTTAATAAAATTATTTGGCCATTATATAGTATATTAAAAGTATACTTAAAAAAAAATATGTAACATTATACATAATAAAAAATTATGTATTACACCGTAATGTTAAAAAATAGATATACACCATAGCAGGCATACTCTAATGACAGCATGTTTCAATTTTGTAGGCTGCTCTTCCTGAGGGTGTGGTTCCCTTTGTATTCGCCAAGGAGTATAATCTCCACGCAGACATACTCAGCACTGCGTAAGTGTGTGCATGTTATAGATATCTATTATCTGTTCGAAAAATATATTAAAATGCATTTTGTGACGTGTGAACTTAACCCATGAACATAAATTCTAAAAGGAATTCACAAATTTTGCAGGGTTATCTTTGGAATGATTATTGCATTGCCCGTAACAATAATCTACTACGTGCTTCTTGGACTCTGATATGTAACCTGGTCAAGAAAATACACCGAGTATATACTGCAGTGGAACATCCACTAGATAGATCATGGATGGTGTGTAGCATATTATCAAAATGAGAGCAAGAGCTTACCAATAACTTACATATTTTCATATACATTTTAAGCACAAAAATAAAATCGTAACGTTTTTTTTTTTTTGTTATTTTATAAAAATTTTAATGATAAGTGAAATAAAAAAGATATGTCTTTCCTATATTTTCAAAATTATGAATATTTCCCTTATTCAGAATATTTATCTCAAATATTTGTCCATCTATAATTTGCAGAGTTTTTGAATATTTATTACAAATAAATAAAAATGAATTATTATTAAAAAAATATAGTCAATAAGCTGGCCCAACCCATTGTAGACTAATTTGCATCAAGCCTTTTAAAATTAAGGCTAGCTATTTTTTTATTTATCACACAGGCAAGGGTAGGTTGGGTCCAAATTAAAGGGTGTTAAAAATTTTTCTAAACCTTCAACGAGTCCGTTTCTTAGACTCGACCAAAAAGAAAGATTTTATTTAATAAAGATTAAAGTGTTAATACAGACACTGTAAATTTATGTTAATAATATGATTCTATGACATTTTAAACAAATGAATGCAACATTTTAAAAGTTAATAAATATTAAACACGTTAAAAACCAAAATTTTGGACAAAATATATTTTAAAACTAGTTCAAGTGTATATAGATTTGAGTCTTATTAAAATTTGAATCGTATATTGACACAGATGAGATACCTAATCACTTAATGAACTAATTAGTAACTTTTCTGGCGTTGTAAACTAATGAGTAATCAGTTAAATAAGATATATTTAAGTTCATCCTATAAATTCCTAGAAATTATAACTATACAATTTTTACAAGTCTATATTCGAAAGTCTTAAAGACCATGCAAGTACCATTTTAACAACTTTAAAATTAAAGTAAGCAATACAATTCTGTATTAAGCAATGCTACTATACACTATTGCTGATTTATTTTCCAAAGAGTTAATTTAGTTATCTTGCAAAAATGTTATCTTTATAATTACCATAACTTACTCTAACTTTTAAAGAATAGACAAAAATAGATAACGTTAAAAGTGCATTGTGCATTTCTCATCCCATTCGAATGCTTTAATAATTTATCGTGTTTTACTTTTTATTGTATCTATAAACTTGAAAAACTATTTTATGTCTTTTCTAGATTAACTATTGTAATTCTTCTAATATAATAATATTTAAAAATTATAAAGTATTAACATTTTTTAAAATAAATTACTGATTCTATTATTTATTAGTATAAAATTAAGTGACGATTATTATACGTATCTCAATTACAAAGAATACAATAAATTTTATCTTACGTGTTTTAAAATTGTTAATCTTGTTTTAAGCTTCTTGCTATTTAAATCTTCTGTTAGACTCACGTGTTCAAATAAAGTATTAGAGGAATCAAATCATAGCTTAGCGCTGAAATCCATTGAAGGGATATTGTTAAGGCGTCACAGGTCAGAAAAATAGGAAAGCACGTTTCTGTTACCGCAAAATATATAAAGGAAAGCACGTCACAGCAATTCATCAAACGAGACTTCAAGAAACATTATTCGATTTTTTTTTTCCATGAATGACCCAACTGATTTTCTATATATTAGCTTAGTATGTATTTAATTCAGCTTATTTTTTAAAAAATAATTATTGAGTTTTGTCAACTTGTTAACTTCAGAATTGAAAATTAGCAATAATTTCGTCTGAATTAAACTTTACCAAACATGTTATTAGTCCCCAACCCAAATCACGCCAATCATACTAGTTATCTAGACCTAGTTTTTTTGTTTTTTTCAAATGCTAACTCATGCCTTAACTGATTTACGAATCAAAAGTAAAAAATAACATATTACTAGTACACCTCTATTGTGATTCCCAATATATTTCCAACATGATTTTCAAGAAAAATTTTATATTATTGATTCTTTAATTAATGCCATTAGACCATTGGATATATATATATATATATATTAGTTTCAATAGTTTCAGATAACTAAATTTAACCAACCTAGGTTGGTGAACACGTATTGTATGTATCGGATTCTTAAAATATGGTAGTTGTAAAAGCTCCATTATGCAGCAAATCGTGATGGCCACAACAGCCCTAAAGCAATTTTGTTTTCTGCTACAACAAAAAGCAGTAGCTCCTGTAAAAGCCAAAGAAAAAACAAATTCTAGAGCGGAATCCACCTATTCATTCATTCATATACAGATGGTGTTCCAAGTTTCTAAAGAGCAGTAGCTGCCATGGGGATAGAACCATGTACTGTGGTAGATCTGTTGATCATGTATTATAGTGGACACATCACTCACTATGAGCACCCAAAATGGTTAGATCAGAATGTAGAAACAAGAGAAAGAACTAAAAATGCTTGGTTAATGAGCCATAACACTGCACGTAAAGCAGAGTCAGGCATTTAGTTAGACAGATTCTGCCCCATAATGTCCATCATGAGTGCTGCCGTTTTCTTTGCCAAGTTTAGATTTTGGTAAAGTTGAAGCCTGTCGAGGAGATAGCTTGTTTGATTGCGGCTTTAGATTAAGGTAAGTGTAAACAGACATACCCGCAATAGCTGTAAATGCGCCACAGATACTGATTTTGCCAGGATTCGATCCAAAGAGATAAAAGTTTCCTAGAAGGAGGACACATGTCTTAAACTGTCCAAGGACAACATGCGAGATGGCAGATGTAGCACTGTAAATTGCAAGGTAAGGGAGAGAAGGAATAAAAAAGACAACCCTTGAAACATAAGTAAACTACAATGTATTCAGCCAAAGAAAAGCATGATACGATAATGTTCTGAATGTTACATAGAAACAGCATCCAAAACATAACACTTGAGTACACGATGAAGGACTTGAATAAATTTGCAATGCCAAAATTCTTTAGTAAATATCAATAGAAATATTGTCATACTTAAAATATGTTTTTACTAGCTTTTGAGACTCAATTCTTGTGCTGTGTACTTGGCCAAAGACTTCAATGTTAGTAACTTGGTTGTAGCACATGATCATGCAACGTCAGTTGGTACAAACTTAGTTGAAAGTATATGGGCCATCGCTATTTTTAATACTTATCAGGTTGTAAGAACACTGCATTGAAAACGTTGCTATTCAGGGGGATACTAAAATATAAAAATTCCAAAAAAATTTTTGCTCACTGGGATCTTTAGATGTTTCAACAAATTTAAAAGAACCTGTAACTTGGAAGATGCTCCCTAGATAAAACTGAATAAATATAAACAACAGTTGAAAAGAGCAATTAACATGTAGAACCATAAGCCATGACAAATTAAAGAATGTTTAAATAGTTAATGGAACTACAGAAGTGATCTATAACCCATCATAATGGTGATTGATTCAACTTCCAACTGAAGGTGAAATGAGACTACTTTCACAAGGACCCAAGAAATGAAAAAAATAAGAGAAGAAACGAAGGTTGTATCAAATGCATCTGAAGGTTTCTTGGTCCAACTCTTTCAACTTAATCAATAAAGCAAATTAATTTCACCCAACCCCTCACCCCAAAAGAAAAGGTTAATTTCTCTTCCATGATGCTTCAAATATAACTAGAGAGAAAAACACAAGGTGTCAGCAATAATGTTCCTTTGGATATAATATAGAACAGGAGCAGCCACTATCGGTTTGGTCACTTGGGAGGTCAGCCCATTCTTAAATCAACACAAACTTCAACAATGTGTTTCACATGCCCAGTAAAATGATCATCAACAATTAGGATGATTATAAAATCAACAGAGTAGTTATATGCATTCTACAAGAAATTGAAGTACTTTTTCCAAGACAAAATTATTCAACAACTAGAAATCTCACTTACCCCAGTGCTAAAGCACCAGACCACTGAAGCAAGAATCCAAGAATAGCTGATGCAAAAATCACTAAACTGTTGCTGAAGTTCCAATCGAAGGAGAGTACACCCGGAGGGTCTAAGCAGGGTAACATAGCAGCTAAGAAAATCAAAGTTATAGGTGTGGTTTTCCACATTAGCCTGTTGGTCAATCCACAAATTAGAAAAGATAGAAGAAGAAATTCTCCAATACAAATCAGTACCAAGAATTGGGAAGGGAAATAAAGGTGGAAAATTATAAAGATGTAACAAATTGCTCACGACAAAGCTGTCCAGTTCTCTTGCTGCTGCAGTCTAGACCACAAGATTTTGTTTACAGCACTGGGAACAATCCACGCCAATGCTACACAAGCACCAAATACATGGAACTGTAGATCAGTCACAGTTGCCACAGCAACACCAATAGACACCACTGTTAACGCTAATGCCTGTAAAGTTTCAGATTTGCTGGTAAGCATTTAAACCTAAAAGTAGATAATCACAAAGAAATAAAAGCCATGTCAATTGACACCCGTCTCCTAGTTTCATGAACAATAAATCACAAAAGTTCCTAGAGAAAAGTAAGGTGAGACTTCATTTCAGAATATGACCACACACATCATTTGTAGCCATGTAGGCTAACTAAATTAAACAGAGCATTCAGACAGGATGATGTAGAGATTCCTAAAACAATATAATACAAACTAATACATCACAAACACTATAACTGTGGTTCCAGTGGCTAGACCCCTATTGGCAACCACAATTTTGTGCTGCATCTATAGGACTTCAGAAGTACGTGTAATATCATTTCAAATGTGAAATCACTTTAAATCACTCAAAAGATTTAGTTTTCTTCCACAAACATGCAGGAAAATATTGGGTGTCAAGATAAAGGAGGGTGTTGAACAGACAAATTTGCTTTATAAATTGGTCACACACATTGCCTTGTGTTGAAGGATCACATCAGCAACATGATCCATGTAGTTTTAATGTGCCCCCATATTTCATCTGCATTAACTATATAAAAGCTCTTATTTCTGATAGATCCATATACATTTAAAACTGAAGTTAGTGTATACCTTGGGCAAAGAAACTTTCTTCCTATACCATACAAATTCTGCCAAAACTATTGATGGTGTCACTGCAATCTTTGCCATCTGATAGAAACCAATGCTGAAGATATAGAAATTAAATTAAGAGTATTAAAAAGTATTAATTTTTTTTTAAATGTGAATAGTTGGTTACCTATTATACTTCAAGCTGACATTAGCAAAGCCAGTGGATAAAGACATAACAAATCCAAGAGTAAACAAAGTAGACAATCGAGTTGATTTGGAGGAAGGAGATGCAGGAAGGAAAGAAAACGCTTTTAATACTGCCATTAAGAACCAGCTCACTACATAGTGAATTAGGGTGAGAAATATAGGGAATTTGAATTTAATAGTTTGAAGCACCTAAAACAAAACAAGAAAAAGAAAAACCCAAGAAAGTCAGCAACTAAAACCAAGATACATTGAAATTTCAACCAGAACATAACTTAACCAGAATGAAGAGTAAACAAACCATTTTGTTCATGAAAATAATACCAACTGCAACCAAAAAATTGAAGGAAAGTGCAGCAGCTGGACCACATATGCGCTGCTGTTGACGCTTTGCACCTTCAGCGGAACGGAACTGATTAAAGAGAGAGGCTCTCAAGTCTTCCAAAGTTCTTCCTGCAATGACCAAGAAAAGGTAATAAAATGTGTGGTAAGGGGAAGTTTTCATTATAGATTTACCACAAATGAATAATGAATACTAATTTTCATTATTGAATGAGAAGACAATTTAACTTTGGGCGTGAAAATGAAAGAAACGTAAATCTTAACTATACAACCATAAATAAACGGTTAAAACTAGTTTCTCTCATGAAAGCATGTCCTCACTCATTCGGCTTCATACATAAGGGTGTATCACTCACAATGAAGCTAGATTGTTTGACGTACTTTACCACTGACAGAAACTGCCTCTTAATCCTTATTATAAGCTGCGAAAGCTTAAAAGAAAGAGCATACGCCTAAACTTAAAAACTTCATTATTTCAAAAGCATTGTCCCAAACTAATTCGATATGCCTCTCCACTAAAACAGAAACTACAATTGAATAAGCCAATTATTAGCATAGAATGCACAAAAGCATAATATCACGAGTAAAACTATCAAATCACGAGCCAGACAAATTGTATCCTCATCAATAGACACAAAAGGAAACAATGCAGCAATTAGTAAAAAGAATCAACCATCGAGCAATATCCAGAAGCTCCATTATGCATAGCATATTCACTAATCATTAGCATAGATCATAAACACATGCATAGTTTACCATCCAAGCCCATAACACAAAATGATCAAAATGCACCCGAAAACCAAAGGGCAAGAATGTAAAAAGGCCTTTTTGGAACCTTTTTCGCCAGCATCACTGTCTTTGCGCTTGAGAATCTTTCTGACGTCTTTCCTAATGAAGAACTTAAACATTTTATGATTGAAAAAGGGAGATTTTTGAAGCAAAACCCTAAAGAAGAAGCTAAAGCAAGCAGAGAATAAATAAATGAATGCAGAGTGTAGAGTGAGGAGTGAGGAGTGAGGAGTGAGGAGTGAGGAGTGAGGGTGTGGGTGCAGCAAGAACAGCAGCACTTCCCCTTGTGTCGTGTTTGGTTCAATTCAAAATGCGGAGGCATTGACCGAGAGAGAAAAAAGGTACAAGACAAAATAAAAGTTCTGCTGAAAAGGACACAGACACGTGGCTTTAAGACCGATCATGGCGGAAAAATGGCAGCTGTCGGCAATTACATTTATAACATTAAATAATAATAATAATAATAATAATAATAATAATATATTTTAAATAAATGTGTATATTACCTTATTAATTAATAAATAAATGTTTTACTAAATAAATTTTGTAATAAAGAAAAATATAAAAAATTTCATTTTTATTGTGTGTTCAAGAATATATATTAAGAAGTTAAAATATATTGATCATCTAAAAATTACAAAAACATTCAATTACAGATCTTCATAATAATTAATTTAAGTGTTTAACAATTACAATATCTTTTCACTTACAAGACTTTGTCTTAATTATCCTTGTTATTATTTTATGAATGTGTATTATTAGCAATATTTTAAATATTCTCTTATGAGATGTTACACATCCCATCAGAAAATAGCTTTTAATTTTTTTTGGATACCATCTTATAGATTGTAGAATTTGTAGATACATGTCTTCTTTCTTCTTAATATTTGGTGTATTTTCTCACATGAATCTAGTTTAGGTTGAAGGCTTTACCCTTCTTAAAAAATATCTCTCGTTAAAGTATATTATATACTTCTTGCTCTAAGTTGATGATATGAGGACTCCAAAGAGGGAAATGTCCAAATTACCTTTGGCTATAGTAGAGCATGTGTCAAAGATCAGACAAAGGAGTACAAAAGCATTGTATATTTAAGGAACTTCATTTTTTTGTAGCTCTCCGAGCGTCTCCATAACTCTCTTAGACATTATAGATTCATAAAGATTCTTTACAAATGAAAGTTCTTTATCATTGATCTTTCTATACTTATTTTCTAGTGTTGCTCCAAATTCACTACCTATCCGTTGTGGTTTAACTCCGCTAGCACTTGTTAAAGCATCTTTATTCTCACCTTCAACAAAAATGATAAAATTTTCAAGTCCCTTTTGTTTTCCACGGCCTTTTAGTTAGAGTTTCTTTAACTTTTCTCTTTAATAAAAAATATTCACTAGTAAAAATGTAAAATTAATCCTTGAAATAAGGTTATCTTCGGAATGATGAGTTCAAGATTCAATCTTATACGTAGTTTATTTGTTTTGTGTGAAAATTAAAGAAGGTGCATACTAAATGACCCATAGGAAAAATGTCTCGTAGTTTGAGTATTTTGTCTGTATGTGAAGGGAAAAAAAATAAATCATGGGCCAACAAACACATTTTCTTTGCTCAAGAAACACGAGTAGGTTGAAATTTTGGGATTCCTATCAAACAAGAAGGTATGCTACTCACTTTACCATTTTTTTTCTTTCACTTCTTCAATATGCCAAATAAGTAGTGAAATATATATATTTTTTTCCTCAACCCAAATAAACTTAAAATTATATTATTTTTTCTTTAAATTCCACTATTTTTTCTCTCAAAAATTTTAATTCTAAACAGGGTATTAATCTTGATACTACAAAGTATGGCTAAATAATATTTTCCCTGAGAGTCCTGTCATCAATCTAGTTGGTTATAAATATTGTCTTAAATAATTAAAAATAAAAAAATGAAAATCCACGTAAGGGTGTGGAGTCTCGTTTTTCAAAACAACCAACACGCACATACAGAACAAAAATCAAGTGAGTCAAACTAACGCACTCACACAAAAAACTCTGCTCACTGCTCCGCTCTTCTATCGAGACCCGACCCGCAAAAAATGCGACCCAAATCAGATAACCCGGTTCCCCTGAGCTCCGGCGGCGGCGGCGACGCATCCTCCGCCGCATCGATGGATCCGATCTTCCACATCCTCCGCATCCTCCCCTTCAGCTTCCTCCGTCCCCCTCGGCTCCGGCTGAAGCTACCATCGCTAACCCTCCCCTCTCCCAACGCCGTCTTCGCCCTTCTCCTTCTCACCTACTTCATGGTCATCTCCGGCATTGTGTACGACATCATCGTTGAGCCCCCTGGCATCGGCTCCACTCAGGACCCCTACACCGGCTCCGTACGACCTGTCGTTTTCATGTCAGGGCGCGTCAACGGCCAGTACATCATCGAAGGCCTCTCCTCTGGCTTCATGTTCGTTCTCGGCGGCATCGGGATCATCCTCTTGGATCTCGCGCTCGATCGCAACCGCGCCAAAACCGTAAAGGTCTCTTACGCCTCAGCCGGCGTTTCCTCTGTCGTACTCGCTTACGTCATGAGCATGCTCTTTATCCGCATCAAGATCCCTGCTTATCTTAGATGATTTAATGAACTATCTTCTATTTCAATTTTTCTGGAATTTTGCGTATTTTGTAGTTTGGCTCACTGTACCCGAGGTTGAGGTTTCGATTTCGGATTTTCTGGTTATGAGGATGCTGTTTAGGGTTACTGAATTGGAAGGTCTATAGTAATTGGATCTGATTCGGTGTTATTTATATTATGAGTGCTTTTTGGTTTTATTTTTCGAATGAGATGCTTGTAGTTATAACTGATTTTTCTTGTTTCTCTGATCTGCGGTGATTTGTGTCTGTTTGAATTGTAGTTTTTGTTGATTCTGGATTGAAGCATGTTTGCCATATGATGTTTGGTGAACTGTTGCACTATTTTGCACACACAAACACATGTTGTATTGTGATTTTTTTTCCTTTTATTACTAAGGGAGTTTGCTGTGCAATGTGTCTCGGGATGGAGAGAGATGTTTCTATGGTTACTGCACTGCTGAACTAGGGAGTAGAGGCAATTTCTGGTGGAGAGAAAAAAATGCGTCAGAAAATAAGAATGCAGATTTGTTTATGGGTTGGCTGATTGTGCTGTGTTTCTCTGTTTTGTCTATAATTTTCTTCTTGCTTACTTGTGATATGATCATTTTGCTTTTCTTCTTGCCAAGTTGTGGTATCCGTCTATATCTGTTCAGTTCAAGCTGTTCTACTCTCTTCAAACTGCAATTGCTTCTTTAAACAATTTTGGATTGTGTCGACCATAAATTTGCCATCGCTGCTCAATAGTTAATACAAAATTCCTAGACATAATATTTTCTTCAGGGATGCTTTTGAGTGGGACATTTTTGGCACTTTTAGCTCAAAGTAAAAGTTTTCGCCTATGTCTGGTTTGACGTTTGATGACCATAATACTCATTACTTCTAACGCTCTTGAGAGTAGCTTACACATTTCAAACATATATATGCTTCATTTTCATCTTGCATCCAAACACATGCTTCCTCTAGAGTCTGAGAGCGTTAGCTCAAATATGGCACTAAGGTCCTTTGGGAATTGCTTGATCCTTGGACCAAATCTTGTCAAGGCCACTTTGCCTGTTGTTTAGCTTGGTACACCACCCCTCAACACACACGTGGGCATGCACACAAACACCTGGTCATAGGACTCCTTTGTACCAAGAAAATGTTTTCTTCCACTCCTTTCTTTGTAACATTATGTTAGAATCTGGGTACTGAGGCCGAAATTTATCTGGAATTCATTTCTCTTTATTACCTATGGACTATGATAATCTTTCTTTCCTTATGTATCTTTTGGAGATGTTGCCAAAGGCAGAAAAAATTGCTTGATAATTCCTCTCCTTTTCTTTGACTGATGATTTTGTTTTTCTTGTAATTAGCATAGTTTGTACTGTTTAAAAGAAGTGGGCTTTAATCTCTTGAAATAGAGAAGAATTCATCTGAGAGCCACGCTAATAAGAAGTACAAGACTTCACTATAAATGGGGGATCAATGTCTCATACTCAGGACCTGAGTAAAAAGGGAGCAAGGCTAAATAGATGAAATGTGCAAGTTAGTTACAATTGGGGAGAGTGTGTGTAATGTGTCAAAGTGAGAATATAAGGAGAGATGGGATAGTGAGAGTAGGTGTGTAGTAGTCTGTTTAAATCAGCTTTCTGCTTGGCAGGAGTGCCTAGACGATTCCTCTGCCTGAGGCTCTGGGCTGGTTGGGGTTTATCCCAATCTGAATATTGGCTCTGTAATCCTTCATTTTAGTAAATATAAATTTCTCCTTTTGTTGTATAAATCACAGGGTCCTTACATCCATACCTAGCTGATATTTCTAAAAGCATGAATCCTAAGAGTGGAAGCACGCTTTTTTCTCTAATTTCACATAATCTAGGGAAATCAGTTATCGTAGATCTTTATTAATTTGTTAAGATATAGACCGGAGCTTTAACTCAAGTGGCACCGCCAAGTCCCTTGAAGACTACTTGAGCTCAGATTTAAATCCCACAAAGGCTGATTTGCCTCCTCTTAAGCCTACTATTCTACTCCACATACCATGTCTTAGATCTCCTTTGTAGCCCCAAAAAGGTAAAAAAATGACAAAAGGATTGTTGGTCTTGATTAGCATAGGTCTTCTTTTCCCTCCACCTTACAATACATCCCACATGGTGCAGCCTAGGGAGTGCCTAGCAGGGGGACAGAGTTCTTGTGGTAATAATATACCAAAATGATTATTGTGAGAGTTTGTGATGGAAACAAATCTTTGAATCCATTTATATGCAAGCTGTCAGCCTTGGGAGGTAGATTTTGGTTACATATGCATTATGACCTATGAAGGTCAAATCTTTGGAACTAAACTGTGTGTACTGTATCATTTTGACGTTTCTCTTGCAATCAGTAAATCAATTGTTCTTTACCCTGATATATATATGCAATATGTTTACCTATATTTAAGTTTGGCTTGCTTGCTTTTGTGATTTTCATTGAGAGAGATTTTTTCATAAATCTATACTAAGTAACTCTCTCATGTTTTCATGTAGCACATACTCTTGCTCTTTGATGCTTGATATATGTAGCTCAAGGATCAAATTTCAAGAAACCTGGTTGCATTGTTTTTTTACTGCTGATGATTGGTTTGCTCTGTTTAAGTCTATATCTCTATTTAGAGATTTATTTACTTTAAGCTGCATGCACTGTGCTCATTTGTGCATAATCTAGTCAAAGGTGAAGTTTTAAGAAATGGATATCTGAAATGATGGTTTTGTTTTAAACTCTGCTGTTGTGCGTGCTTTCAGTAGCACCAAGTGCTGAGCCAGTCATCTTACTGCTAGTTGGGAATTAATCCCTTAAACCCCTTTCCCCTGTTTCCCCTGTCTGAGAAATGCAAACATAAATACATCCAAGCCTTTTCCTTGCTAGGTGGAGTTGGTTGTATGGATCATATAATGCCATAAAATTTTCTCATATATTTAAAGTTTAAGATAGATCATTTACTTTAAATCTCTCGTAATGGTTTGACTTGTAGTTTTCCTTGGCCTCCCTGTACATCATTATTGGATTATTTTTCTTTTGAATAATCCTCTTTATTGGTGCTTCTACGGGTTTTCTCTTCAAACAATTTAAGATAGGACTTCCAACAGTTTTCTATAATGAAGGTTATCGCAACTTTCTAACTAAAAATAGTATTTCTAATTTTATCTTTACACTGATAGTTATCTACTTCGAAATAATTGCCTTTAGACCCTTTCAAAATCCATGGACAAGTGCAATTTTCATGATTGTGGCTACTGTTTATCTTTATTTTTAGGAGGCCTGTAATGTGTTTGTCCTTATGGGTTCAAAATATAAACTGCCACCTTAGTGGGAGTGTTGTACAAATATGTCAGTAACTAATCAATTTATGGTGCGTTAGTTTTTCGTCGCATTATGGATGATGATTCACGTGGAAGCACTTAACTTCATGCAATCGCAAACTTCAATAACAAATTAGGAATAAATACAATAAAAGAGTGCGGGTCAATTAGACCATAAGATCCACAAGTTGTACAAGATCCAAGAACCGAAAAGAAACTAGACTCGCTCATTTAACTTGTTAACAGCTATTCATTTATCTTCAGAAGAAATTGACTTGAACAAATATTCAAAGTTTGACAAACTCACCATCGTTTCCATTCAATGATACATTCTAGTATTTTACATACACGCATACAACCTAACCTAAGCAGCAGTTACTTCGATTGGTAATTATCACACTTTTAGATTGTTTTCAACAGACAGGGACTTACATAAATACTTTGTTGCTTCTCAACTGAAGGAACGACGGGGTGAGAAGAGGCGAAGAGGTGAGAGCTTTCCCATGAAGCCTGGGGAAGCAAGACCATTGATAGACTGAAACTGAAGCATCTTGTAACCAGCATGTTCTCGTTTCCCACTTTTCATTGGTCTATCAAAGGTCCCACATTTCACCAATTTCCCCACCCACCACCTCTTCTTGGTTGGGCTTTGATGGTTTGAGTTAATCTTTTGACACATATACTCCATCACCGCATGCAGTCCATGCTCTACCACATCCACTGGAGGACAACTAAGTGGGTTTCCTTCCACACTTAACTTCTGTAGCTTCTTGAGACATCCAATTGATTCAGGCAAGGTCTTGATCTTGTTGTAGCTAACGTCTAATTCAACCAGGGACAAGAGGAGACCTATGGAGTAGGGGAGGGACTCAAGGTACTGGAAATTTTGGCTCACATTCAGAGTCTCAAGGTTGATGAGATTCTCAAGGTCCTCGGGAAGAGCCCTGAGGCAATTCAAACGTGCATCAAGAACCTTCAAAGCTGTTAGGTGTGAGGTGGAGCTAGGAAGAAACACTAGCTTGTTGGAGTTCACTGCTAGCTTCTTGAGGTTTATGAGCTCAAAACCTATTGTGTCTGGCAGCTTGCTCAGCTTGTTGAAGTTGGCATTCAGTTCTTCTAAGGCTCTGATGGGTCAAAATCATAGTAGACGTGCATGTTAAGAATGAACCATGTAATCAATATGAATAATCACACACACACACACACACCCCTCCATTATCATTTAATTATTAAAATTGATCCTACTTTGTTTCTAGCACACTTCTAGTTTTGTCATATTATTATGATTTGCAAGAAATTATAATATTGATTTGGGATGCAAGTAAACTAGAAATGCTTAATGGCACGTCGAAATAGAATGGAAAACTTAAGGTAATTAAAGAATTTGAAAAATTAAATGGGATTATTTATGTTGGGACAAATTGTCCTTTTCATTGACCTATAAATATTATTATTGTCGGGTGATCGGTGCCTTTTGAGGCTGCAAAAGGTTGAAGTTCTTCGTCAATTGCTGAAGAGTGCCTCCTCCTTCAAGCATATTCTTCGTTTTTAACATTTTATTCCTAGCACAATTAATGTTATGAGAACATTCCAGGACTTCCCATTTAAATTTGTTTTCTGCGGTTTGACCTACATTGATAATTATTTTTTGGTACCATGATCCTAATATAAAATCTACTAGTGACATTAATTTAGGCATACATTTCAATCATGATCAATAGTTTAAAATTAGTACTACCAAACTTTAAAATAAATGGTCATTTTTAGCCGACTGAACCTACCTTCGGCTGTTATATATAGGGCAAACTATAAATATAATGGCGAATATAAGAAAAGATGAAGATTTTTTTTTCAAACTGCAAACATGAGCATGTGATAGCAGCCCGCGATTACGTATTCATCTACATTTAACTGATTTGTCGTTTTCTTTCTTCAAAACTAAGTGGAATTCAACGATTTCGTAGTGAAAACAACTTATATATTTGATAAAACTAAGGGTGGATCAGAGCCTATGTATAATCGTACATGTGTTTAATAATCAATTAATCTAACATTTATTAAGTTTTCAAATCCAAACATGACGTAGGATCCTTTCGTACGCGGGATTTGATGCCGTCGTGCCAAAATAAAAAACAAGAATGGGAACGTTATATCCACGAACATTTTGGGCACAGCTAATGGAGAAGGAGAGGAAGAACTGTTGATCGTTCAGGTTAGAAAGGTGAAAAGCAAATCAGAATCTAAAAAAAATTAGTGAGGATTTGATTTTCGCGAGGTCTATGAGAAAGAAGTATATTATTTATCTACATAAGGTTACCCATTAAGGAAACACACAAGAAAGGAATATCATTGAAAAAACCATTATATTTGCTATCTGTTTTAAAATTTGTCTTTTGTTCTACGTCTTGTTTTCCTTTTTACTTATCAGCTGAAAAGGACAATACACAGAATCACAGATAGAGTAAAATAATTGTTTATATATATATATATATATATACTTTCTAATATGATTTTTACTATTATTTATCTCTTATGTATGATAATTATATAAAGTACTGAAGAATCAAATGATATTCTTCTGAAACTTCTAAGTAAAATAAATTGAAACAAAATTTTCTTTTAGAAATTGATAGATAAAAAAAATAGGGGGAGTAATAACTTTAAAAAATGTTTTAAAAAAAGGAATTAGTCGGAAGAGAGTTTTAAAAGGGAAGGTAGGAGGAGAGAGTAAGTTTTTAAAAAACTAAGAGAATTATATATTATTTATGATAATAATTAACTGATAAATATATTAAGTTTATGTTAATTTATTTTATTTTAAAAATTATAAATTAAAATGTTTATTCAAGATGGAAATTATGTCCTCTCTTTCTTTTTTTCTTCCAAATCCTAAACATTTTCCAAGAAGAAAAAGAGAAATTCAATTCAATAATAGAATTTTTTAATAAATTTTTATAATTTATTTGGTGGAAAGTAATAGAATAAGAAAAAAAGAAGAAGAGATAGTAGATATGATTATTTGAATGGAGTAGATAAGCACAGGATAGAACCGATTCCTTACTGATCCTGTGTGAATGGGCGAACTATTATTCAAATGTTCTGAATTGTTTATTTGTTTTTCTTTTTTGCTTTTTAAGGTCAGTAAGTGTTCTGTATGTTTTGAACATTTCTTTGTTTTGCTGGATTACAACGTAAGCCGCTTTTATACTAAATCAAGGTATTAAAGTTTCAGTTTGTTTTTTCATCTCTTTTCTTTTCTTTGAGAGTTATTAGCAAGATATAGAATTCTCTCTCTCTTTTTTAATTGTTCTTCACTACTGAACGTGGAAATTCGTTTAATCAATGTCAAAGGCTTTATCATTAATTAAATCAGTGCAACACATTCAAAACAATTTTTGTTTAAAGTACATACTAAAAGAGAGTAATAAATATATCTAAAATTCTTAACAGCAAAAATATTTGCAAAAATAGATTAATTAATAGAGAAAGTGAACAACACCCCATTATGAAGTGATTTTAACATGTTTTAGCTGAATTGAAAACTTGATCGACATGCAAACTTGAATCTTCAATTAAATTATCAGAAAAGTAGAAAGAGAAGTGAAGAAAATGAACCTGCAATTCTCAATGGTTTTGGGGAGGAATTCGATGAAATTTCCAGAGACATTCAAAACCTTGAGCTTAGAGAGGCAACCAATGGAATTGGGGAGGGACCTGAGCTGATTGGAGCACACGTCCAAGACCTCCAAGTTGAGTAGTCTCGCCGTTAAGGATTCCGGAATTTCCTGTTAGAGAGTAATATATTCTTCATATATAAAATTGATATAATTAATTAATAAAGTAATATTATATTCTCAGGGTATAATATTATAACACCCTTTAATTAATAAAACTAGTGATGCAGATACAAAAAGTATTGTGTGAAAAATAGTCTGAAAATTGTATTACTTTAATTAATAACATATTTTATGCAATTAATTTGCAGGAGAATGATATATGGAGGAACCAACAAATTAATATATAGTAAAATAGATTTATCACTCCCTCTTATATAAATCATCATTCATCACCTGATCATTATCAATATTTACATATAAATAATTCCAAAGAAAATTTGGTTTCTCACAAAATAGTGATATCATTCAACTCGTATACAAAAACCCATCGAGTAAAAGGACTACTGTTTATTCTTATTATATATACGACATATTTTAAGATTCTCTCTTAATGGAAGTTAAAAGAAATTCGAGATTGAGAATCAATTATATGTCTCATTTTTTTTCCTCATTTATTAGATGTAAATTTGAAGAGCAACCAAGTTCATATATAAGTAGTATACGCTGCACAGAAAGGAAGATAAGTGCAAAGAACACCAGAAGTTTATTTATTTTTGAGCTTTTCATTGCATTAAAAGAGTAAACAATTTATAATTTTACATGCGCAGCATACATATCGACTTAGCTCATCAGGATGTGGTTGGTTTTGGGATGAACATTTGGCAGAATCAAGATGATTAATTTTGACTAGATCAACGCAGTTCCATATCCATAAATCTTTGTTCTGAATATATTCATCATTAAAGTCTCGAACATATACGGTTGCATAAACTAAATAGTTATGTAGACGTACCTGGAGATTGTTATTGGATAGGTTCAACATGCAAATGGTCGCTAAATCAAACGAAGGTTTGGGAAGAGAGTCCAAAGACAAGCAACTCAAATCCAGAACTTGAAGCCTTGCTTTCTCGGTGCCTTTGCTCCCCTCCCTCTTTCTCATCATCGTATCCATCTTTGTCATGGGCTGTGGAAATTGTTGCAATTGGTACATATCCATAATTGCAAGTTACGATATGATAAATGATAATAATAACTGGATCACGAAGACCCCCTTTTTTCTTTTCTTTGACTTTTCCCCCCCTCTGATCGAAACGGAAGTTGAAAACAAGAGAGAGGAAGATGGTGAAAGAGAGGGACAAGTAATTAAGCGATTATATATGGTGTACACAGACGCCTGATGAACTCTCTTTCTTATAAAGTCTGAATTAACCCAAGAAAGGTAGGTAGTGGAAGAGTGTACACACTAACACACACATATATGGGGGAATAGAAGGAGTTGAAAACGTACGGATGAGGACGAGGTTGATGGTGAATGACGTGCGATGGAAGTACAAAAACCGTATAGTCAGAGGTTGCGTGCCGCGCCATGTTGTCCACTTGATTATCGACCACCTCTGTTTTACGTTTTATATTCACATATTCATTTAAGAATATCCTCCTCACAAGCCTCTGTTTTTACACTAATTAATTATTTCTTACAATATATAATTTTAATTATTAATTAAATTGATTTTCTAAAATTTATAAATATTTATTACCTCTTTTATTTTAATGAGTAAATATTTAATTATAAATAACATATTTATATCATACTAAATTTTAATATACATAATTATAAAAATAAAATAAAATAATTTAATAGTTCAATTAGTTAATTTTATATTTTATAAAAAATTATTAAACAGTTTAAGTGTCCTAGATATTAACTCTTAATTTAATATTGATTATTGTTGAAGAAAACAAATTAAAAATAACCGATAAGAATATTTGTATGAAGAGGTGCAACTAGGTTCATTTTAAATGACGTTTTAGTTGAAGTCTTGATATATATAAAGAAATTCTTGGTAATAGAACTAATTTTGTTTATTGTAGATTATCTGAATTTAATTAAAACTAATTATCTCATAAAAATATTTTAACAATGTAAAATTAAAGATTTTAATAATTTAAGATGTTCATTAATTTATATTAAATATTTTCTAATAATGTGCTTAAAACATTTATTACAGTACTCTTTCACATCGTCGACTCTTACACCTCAATTAGGAGAGTACTAGTCAGACAACTGTTATTTCAAAATAAAAATCAATATTTGCATATTGAGTATAGATCTTTCTAATTAAATTATGCTAATTTAAATAAAAGAAAAATAAGTTTGGCTTTATATTGTCCAGTATTCTTTAACAATTAATTTGAAAATTTGTTGTCTATATTAATTGATGATGGTTTTATCATACTTTTTTTTTTTTTCTGAATATGTTGGTAATTGAATCAGTAAAAAAGTAATGTCAAATTTGAATTTACTTAACAAATAAAAATAAAAAATTATAAAAAATGAGAAGAAATATTTGTGCGTTAAATAAATTAACTAAAACAGTTTGATTTCAATTGGTCATGTCCACTCGAGTATTTGCCTAAACAAAAAATCACATGAGAAAAGATTGATATATACAATAGATACCTATTGTAAGATACTTTTAACCTAATTAACGACAAAGTATATTGTATAACATGCTTTTAAAGATCTCTCTGATTAAAAATAAAATAATAAAAATTAGACTTAGACTAACTAAAATTAGTTTCATGCTTATGTTTATATATTTTTTGTCATTTAATTTTGTTAACTCATAAATTAAGGTTAATATATAAAAAGGAAGAATAATTAATGTTTATTAGTATTAGTTACTAATTAAGAAAAGGTATTAGTTACTAGTTACACTCATTAGATAAATCATCATAATTTGTGAAGTTTAGTGATGCAGAGGATTTATTTGAGGGGGGAAAAGTCATAGGATTAGAAGAGAAAAGTTTCTCTTATGATAATCAAACGAAATAAGAATATTTTAATGTATCCCCCTCCTCTCTCTCTCTCTCTCTCTCTCTCTCTTCTATTCAAATTTCTCTCATTTCTTCAATTGAATTAAACACACTGTAAAAACAAATCAAACAAACTACTTTAATTGGTTTGACTCACCTCGATTCTTTTCAATTTATATCGAATAATAATATGTTTCTCTCAAATAAACTCAGATATTTCTTTTATTTAATTTCCATTTCAATTGATACTTAGTTAATAATACATTGGTCTAAAAATTTATATAAAAACCTAAGAAGATGAATAAAATTTTATTTACTCAAATTTAGAAATAAAATCAAAATTTAAACCAAAGTCAAATGTTTTTTCATAAAAAATATAAACAAAATTAAAATTGCCTATTTTAATTTAGATTTATTCGGTTTGGTAATTGACTCTTACCTATAAATATATACCGAGTTAAATTGGTACACCATTTTAAATAATGTATTATAACTGCTGTAGGAATACAAACTACTAAACTTTGGCTAATGATAGATGATTTGAGTACATTGTATGAGTTCATAAATATGAGCATCATTATCTATTTGTCTTCGGTATATATATATAAGTTTATCACAAAATCTAACTTATAAATATTCTAAGCATGCTCATTTAAAAAAAAAATAATTACAGAAAAGTTTATCCTTATTATTAGTAAATAAAAAAGTAATTATAAAGTTGAAAAGTGTACTTGTGATCTGTCCCCAACTAGCCGCGAATCTTGGGCAACAAAACACCTTGCATTATTCTACTAAACACCATTTTTTATTGCATACAACATAAAGGACTCAAGTTTATTCGAAAATAGCATCCTTTATTTTTATTTTTTGAATCTTTATTTATGTTCCATTGTTAGAACAAATCAAACATAGTTGGTATTCTTACAATGATATATCAGTCTCTAGAAAGATTATCATTTTGCTGGATTATTATTTATCGATTTTAGTTGAAAGGTTAACATACCAAACATTGTGAAAATAATTATGTTTTAATTGAATATACGTAACATACTTCATGTCAACTACGATGACGCACGTCAAAATAATAAATGAGGATAAATTTTATTTTGCCATTGACATTTGTGCCTTAGTACTTTGGATTTACATTTAAATAGAAATAAAGTTATATTTAATTTAACATTATTAAATTATAACTTTTGCTTTAAATATGCTAACGTGTTTTTAAATGTATATTTACTTGTAAGGATTTAATCAATTTTGATTCATAAACAACTAAAAAGATTTAGACTCTATTAATACCATACAGTGTATTACGTATTTATTATTACTCTCATGTATTTATTGTCACTTCAATTTAAAAAAGTCATATAATAATATTTTTGAAGTTAAGAGTATAACAAAAGAATAATTAATATTATCTTTAACTTTAAAAATGACCGATAAAATAAGATGAGACAGGTAAGAAAATCGAAAGAAGTACTGTAGATGATTATCTCATTGATTACCCACGGTTATATCATTTAATGAGTTTGACTAAAATAACAAGTACTTGAAAATCTAGTTTTTTATAATATCCCAACACATTATTTAGTGATAATGTAAAAAACAAATATGTGAAAGCTAGAAAACCGTACAAAAACTGGTACGAATTGGCACAAAAGTGTTTGAAACATGGCGCATGAGAAAAATGACTATTGAGCGGAACAATTCTACGGCTATGAAACCTCTCTCACCTTCTACTGAGCTATTATTAAAAGAAAAAAGCCCAGAGAAGCAAATTTTGATTTGTTTAATTGAATTTAAGTCAGGAATCAATGATCACTTCAGAAATTGAATTTTGACTTATCGTTAGATACTGATAAAATATAATTATTGATAAAGTTTTTTAAAAAAATATCAAGTTTAAGTTTTGACTTACCATGGCATTTGCTTTCGATGGTAGAGCTCAGCACGCAAAATCGGCTACGTACAATGAATAATTTACGAGAAAGTTAATTATAATCGGCTGAAATTTTCAAACTATTTTTTTATTTATCTGTTGCATTCGTTTAAAGAGAGAAACGACTTGAAAATAATATCTTTTTAAATAGGAAACAATATAATTCGAATGATGAATATAACAAATCTACAAATTATAATAATGTTTGTTTGTGCAATACGTTTACTTGTGCCGTACTGCACTTAATTCCAATATAAAAGCCTATGCTGACCAATTGTCAACACTTTTGTGTTATTTTCATCATTTTATTCAAATATAAAGGCTTATTAACACTTGTTTAATAAATAAATAAATAAATCAAGTTTTTTATTAAGACTGATTTAGATATGACTGACTTAACTTTTTTAATAAATAAATAAAGTTTAATTTTTTTAAAATTTATTTAAATAAATAAGTCAAGTCTAAGTTATTTATAAAGTTTATTAAGCTTCACAAGCCGGCCTATATATATATATAATTTAAAAATAGAGCTGTCAAAATATATTTAAATAATAAATTTATTTAATAATATATTTTTATATTTTTAATTCTGTTATTATTAAATTAATATATTGTGTTATAATTCTTTTTATTTATAATTATAATAAACAGAAATTATATTTTATTAAAAATAAAAAATATTTGTACACGATTATACTTTTTAAATAATAAATTTATTTAATAATAAATTATTATATTTGTTATATTCAAATAAGTTAAAAAATAGTTAAGTCTTTGAATAAGAATAAGACGCAATCAAAACTAAACGAAATAAAATTTAAAAATAAAATAATAAAATAATATTAATATATTTTTTATACTCTTAATTTTATTATTATTAATTTAATTATTTAATTATTATATTAATATATTATGTTTAATTCTTTTTCTTTATAATAAATAGAAATTATTTAAATATGAATTATATTTTATTCAAAACTAAAATTTTATTAAAAAAAATGATAGAAAAATAAAATAAAAAATTATTATAATATATATATATATATATATATATATATATATATATAATCAGACCATGTAACAAATAATATAAATAATATAATTATAAATAAATTATATAATAATACATATTTTTGTAACTTGCATGTGTTTTAATTAAATTATTAGTTAATTTATCAATTTATATGTAATATATAAGTATGTGTTTTAATTTATTGTATCAGTAATATTTTTATATTACATTAATGTTATAGTGTGGTTAATTTTATGTTTATTTGTTAATTTAAAATAATAAATTAATAAAATAAATAAAATTAAATATTTTGTAATTTTTTTAATTTAATAGTTATTATTATTGTCATTATATATATATATATATATTGCATTAAATTTATATTTATTTATATTTTAAAATATAATAATTTTCTTTTAATTGATTCAACAAATTGTGTGAATGTTATTTTTTGTTATCTATTTTATGTGTTCACTATAACTTTATTTGTTGAATATAAGATTTCTTTAAACAAATAAAATATGTTTTTAAAATAAAACTAAAATT